AAACCGTGATAGACCCCCGAATGAATTCGGGGGCTTCCGCAAACATTAAGCAGAAGCATTTGTGGAATTCAGAAGCGGACTGGACGCTTCAACGGAGCAGCCGACAATCCTGTTAAACAGAACAATCGGTCTTACAACGCCTAACCCAAAGGAAGCTACCCCTTCCTTGAGAATGTTCAGTGCAGCGTTCTGATCGCGGTCCATGTGCGTATTGCACTTCGGACACTGCCATTCCCTATCTGATAGCGTGAGGTTTTCATTTTTATGTCCACAAACAGAACAGCATTTTGTCGTCGGAGACCAACGGCTGATTTTCAGCACAGAACGGAGACGCTTGCGAGATTGGTGTTTCAATTTCTGCATGAACTCACCGAAGGCGAGGTCAGAAACCTGTTTGCCAAAGAGTGCTTTCATACCGCGAAGGTTCAGGTCTTCAAAGAACAGAATATCAAACTTTTGGCACAACTCTATTGCAAGTTTCCAGTGGTGGTCTGCTCTTTGATTCGCAGTTTTCTTGTGGAGACGGGCAACGGTCTTGCGTTGGCGTTCCTGATTGTTAGACCCTTTGACCTTGCGAGAATGTTCCTGTTGTGCTTTCGCTAACTTCTTGGCGTTCTGTTCGTAGAACATAGGAGAGGTATATCGTTCACCGTCAGAGCCAGTCAGGAAATCTTTGATACCCATATCGAACCCTTCAGCTTGACCCGTCTTGGGTTCGGGTTTGACTTCATTACATTCTTCAGTGAGTGTGATATACACGTCTCCGAGAGCGTCTCGTGTAACGTGAACTTCAATGATTTTGCCTTCTATATTTCTATGTAAAGCAAAACGATACCAACGACCATTGAGACGGATTTGATACGTTGGGTAATTTCGTTCATTTTTCTGTTTCGGTAGCAAATACTCTAACTTGACTTGTTCGCCGCGAAACGTCATACCCTTATGTTTCTTACACGACTTGAATTTCGGGTGTCCTCTACCGAGTGTTTTCATTTCTCTAAAGGATTGTGCCAAACGCTTCAGCACATTTTGCAACGCCCACGCGTAAGGGATATTCCAATGCTGATACTTCTCAAGTTTCTTGAGTTTCGTCAAATGGGCAGACATTTTCGCATACGAAAGCCCCTTACCGTATCTGCGGTAATATCGCATGCAGAGTGCCAAAAAATGATTTTTCACAACACCACAGATATTGCAATCGTCATGCAAGTGACGCAATATCTTATCCTTGAAAAGTTTGTGTTTTGTATTTCGCATGGTATATCGTGTATCGTGTCTTTAACCCCTAATCAGTGGGTAGGCAGACACGTTACCAAGGGGTAACGCTGATTATGTCTGCCAACACGATACTTTAATTATACCACAATTTAGACCGAATGTCAACTCTTTTTTTAGGCATTTGGTCCTTTCCAAGAGGGCGGTGTCTACATCCCCCGAATGAATTCAGGGGTTTTGACACCGAAATACGATAAGGGTGGCAAATTTTTCACAATCTCCACCGTCTTCAGACTGACGGTGATGACGCGTCCGATCAAATCCACAATATATCGCGGTTGATCGGTTCGGTTCGGGTCGTTCACAATCCCACTCCGTTTGTCCGTCTTGACGCGATACTGATCCACCACCCACTCCAACGCAGAACGGTTGCCTAACCGATACTCATACACCTCCGCAGGGATGCCATCCAGCGTCAAGTAGTCGTTGTATTTTAACTGCGTCTTGTCTTTCGACAATCTCATCTTCTCGACGCGCCAATCAACTCTCATCCCCGGCGTTTCCATCTCTTGCAGCCCATCATATTTCGGCGCGGATTCATAGGTGACATGGAGGTCTGCTAATTGCGCGCCTGCGTTGGCGAAACCCCAGAAATCTTCGGCGAAGGGGATATGCGGCAGGTCGCGCTTGAGGTTCGCCTGATACTTTTCACGATAATCGGGATGGTGCAGGAGTCCATAGTTATAGTGGAAGATGTCCCATTTGGTGATGGTGTCATCGTTGTAGTAGGTTCGGAATTCCGCCAACGCCCAATCGGTGATGTTCTCTTGGCGGTTCGTGCCGTCCTCGTCGTAGGTGTAGAAGGGAAGCATTGAGAACCACCCTGCGAGTGAGGACGAGCTGCTTGACCATAGAGCTTGAAATCGGCTTCGTTACTTCCAACGCCACTGACACAAATCACTCGATTTTCTGTTTCCGTCTCTGGTGTTGGAAAGATAGATGGAAACACAGATACACGATCGTTCATCTGCGGTCAAGAATAGAGTTGACTTTTGTAAACGGGCGATAGAGCGAGGCCTCGAGTTTGTTCCACAAATTCAGCATTTGTCCCGCTTCAACTTCTGCTTTTAAACTCGGAACTCCATTTAATCTTGGTGTCATCATACGCTACAAAATCATCGATGTCCGATCGACTCTCTGGTGGATCCCCACCACTTCAGCACTGTGTGTTGTAGAACTCCATCGTTCGTTTGATGTTTTCGTGAGGTGTCTTCGTTGAAAATTGTAAGACCCACGTATCTCGATTGGTTGTAACCCCATCCGATACGTCTGGAAAATTACATCCTCCGCTCTCCTTTCTGCTGCCTTCGCTTCCTTCGTTCCCATTGGATAAAGGTATCAAACTCGGCGTGGAGTCCTTCCGTCAGCCATGTATATCGGCTGTCAGGTGTAATCCGCTGCCAGTCAACGTTTTGGTAGTGCTTCTTTGAATTGAGATAGTGATACTTCTCTTCCTTCCGCCAAAACTCATCGGCATGCGCGTAGAAGATTTCGGCGGATTTCGTATCTGTCCTCACCTCACTTCTCTTGACGAAAAAATTGATGCTTACCCCGACCTGAATTCCGAAGACATTGTGTGTTGTTCCAGACAACTTGGGGTTCTGACGGACGTTTCCACCGAGATCCAGAATGTAAATCGCGTCAAAATCCTGTGCGAGGTGTTTTCGCATCCCATCAAACGCAATGCCGTCGAGAAAGCCGTTGTTCGTTACAAAGGCGACAACGCCTTCAGCTCCAATCCGTTTCGATGCCCACAGGATCGCCTTCACATACGGATCCGAGAGTGCATTTTTGTTCGTCGCTTTTGAGTCTTGCGAATACGTCTCCTTCACGAATGTGTCTACTGTCTTATACTTCCGATTTTTGTTATTATCGTTCTCGTTGACTTGTCCGACGTTATAGGGCGGGTTGCCGATAACGACGAACATATCCGCCGCTTTCTGTCGCTCTACCCGTTCCGTGTTTTCCTGTGTGAAAATAATATGCTGCTGCTGTCCTTCAAACAGTTCAAACGTATCCGCGAGCGCAATCCCATCAAAGGGTCGATATGTCCCAGTGCGTTGGAAGAACTCGTGCTCAATGTTCAGACTGGCGATGTAGTAGGGCAGGAGCATCACCTCGTTGCAATGCAGCTCATGGCGGTATTTCTCTTCCAGCGTCGCACCTCGAATGTCCTGCATCAGTCGGACGATGAAGTTGCCCGTGCCGACGAACGGATCAACAATATGAACGCCGGTATCCGACAAAGATCTATTGAACTCGCTTTTAAGGATCTGTTCAACGCTGTTCACCATGAAATCGACGATCGGTTGTGGCGTGTAGACGATGCCGTGTGTGTCCGCTACCTCCACAGAGAAGCCTTGAAAGAACTGCTCGTAGACGGTGTTGAGGAAGTGCTGTTTTTGCGAGAAGTCCTTGCAGAGCGTGGAAGTGTTCTCGATAGCAGTATAGAACGGGTTCAGCGGTTTGAGAAACTCGTCGCGACTGAAGGCGTTTTGGATGAGTATCTCGATAACGTTTTCGATCTCGCGTGCGATGATATTTCGGCGCGTGAAGTCCGGGTTGTCGAAGACGGTACGGAAGATCCGTTCCGTCAGCAGATGTTGGATGAGCATCTCCTCAACGGCAGCCGTGGAGAGGTTTGGGTTGATTGCGGCACGGCACTGTTGGTAGAAATCCGTGAAAGCGGCGACAAATTGCGGGTTCGCCGCGTGCTGCTCGGCTATGAGTTCTGCAGCTTTTCTGCCGAGTGCGGGGACCATCTCTTTAAATTCTGCGACAGCAGTGTGCCAATTTTCAAGCGCAGCGGGAGGTGCGGCGAAGAGGTGTCGGAGTGCTGCAATCAGGCGTGTCGGATCGGTGATGTCTACGTCAAAGACCTGTTCTCCGTTCTGATAGAGGATACCGCGCTGCGGGTTTTGGAAGAGGATATTGTCGAACGGATAGCCTGCATTCCGTTTCTCCTGCACGGCTCTGTGGAGGTCGTCGTCCATATCCTTCGCTTCCCAATACGCGAAGGGGATTCGGTATGCGTCGAGGATCACACCGTCAAGGACGATGCGGTTACCCGCTGGGGTGCGCATCGGGTATTGCGGAACGAGGGTGGCATCCGTCTGTTTTGCGCAGGCATCGAGTAAGAAGGCGAAGGGGTTGCTGACGGCACCTTCGTGTGTGATGTCGTGCCGGTCGTATTGCTGCAGCGTGGCGTAGTAGTCTCGGATTACTTTGTGATTCGGTTTGAGGTTGAGTTGCGGCATGCGGGTATGATAGCAGGTGTTGTGGTATGTGTCAAATGGAAATTGGCAGATGGGGTTTCCTCGACCAATATGGGCAGGCACAAGACCTGCCCCTACAAGGCTTTGTCTTTGTTAGAAGTGAATATTATGTGCGATACAAAAACTACGAAAATCCGCGTAATCTGTGTAATCCGATAAATCCGTGATTCAGACAAATATCGGTGCGGTTAGGAACCGCACCTACTGGTTATGAGGGGACAGAGAAAAAGGGTCGAGATTCGGAGATCCCTCCTACAAGAGAAAGACATTCCGTAATAATATGTTTGACATCAATCCGATAAATCGCATAGAATTCCAGTTACTAAGAACCGAAGATTGGAGGGAAACCGATGAAAATCACAGGCTTTGAATACCGAACTATCTCCATCCCCTTTATTCCTGCGATACAAGAGCATTCGGGCATGGATTACCCGACCACCTTGGTTTGGGTACATACAGATGAAGGACTGACAGGATTGGGTGAGAGCAATTCCCTGAACAGCGATATTACAGATCAGGCTGACCAGATTGCCGAAAGATACATCGGCAAAAATCTATGGGATATTGACCTCGCCTCCGAGTCGTTTGTTTTCCAGTGCGCCTTTTACGACTTGGCAGGACAGGCATTGGGAGTGCCTGCACATAAGTTAATCGGTGAGAAATATAGGGATAGCGTTGAACTCGCCTATTGGTCGCCACCGATGCCAGCAGAAGCGACAGCGGCAGAGGCGGAACGCGCCGCGAACATGGGGTTTCGGGTGCATAAACTCAAGGCTCGGAAGGCGAATATTGTCGAAACCGCGCGTCTCATCAAAGAAGCGTGCGGACCTGATTTCCAGATTCGTGTCGATCCAAATACGGAATTCGGTGATTTGGAGACAGGTCTTCGGCTCGCACAGGAACTACTCCCCTATAACATCGAAGTCTACGAAGACCCGATCCGATTTGAGGATTTGTCTTGGTACCGCCAGATGCGGGAAGAGGTGGAGGTTCCAGTCGCCCGCCATTTGGGGGCACCTCCAGGGATTTTAGAGAATATCCTTGCCGGTGCGGTGGATGCAGTCAACATGGGCGGGAACGTCGCAGGACTCCGCAAAAGTGCTGCCGTTGCCGAAGCCGCTGATCTGCCAATCTGGGTACAGATATTTGCGTTCGGTTCATGTGTCGCATCGACGTTCGCGGCACACATCGCATGTACTTTGCCAAACTGCACGATGCCGATTGATGAACTCCCACACATCCGCATTGATGATTTATCAGGCGGTAGTATGGATCTCTCAAATGGTGCAATCAACCTATCAGATGCACCGGGTTTGGGTATCAGTCTCGATATGGAAGCGGTTGAGCGGTATCGGATTCGTTAGAATAGCAGTCAGCAATCAGCTGTCAGCCGTCAGTAAGCGTCGCGATTCGGAGGTCGCTCCTTTCGGAGGCCGCTCCTATAGAAGAGGAAAACAGAGAAGGCGAGGTAGGATGCCCCTCCCAGTAACAGGGGATCCCCTCGCCAACTAATGAAAGCAAAGACGCATCGTGCCTACTTTAGGATAACCATTTTGCGGAGATGCGAAGTATTATCCGTTTGCAGCTGGTAGAAATAGACACCACTCGCAACACGCTCACCGGCATCATTGAGACCGTCCCAGTGTGCTGCGCGACTTAGACTCGTGTAGTAACCTTCGGGCTGATGTCCTAAGTCTAAACGCCGGACGACGCGACCGTGTGTATCGTAAATAATGATATGCACATCGCTGAGCTCTGAGAGGTGATAGGGTATCCACGTCTCCGGGTTGAAAGGGTTCGGATAGTTCGCCAGCAGCAATGTCTCTGTTGGACGCATCGCTGCTAAAACACGCTCCAGCAAAGCAATCGCCCGCTGGTATTTCAGAGATCCGTCACTTTCAGCACGCAAGGCGTTCAGATATATCTCCAGGACCCCTCGATCCAAATTCTCAAGCGTTTCCCTATCCAGCAATCTGGACAAATCCACGCTTGAAGGTGCACCACCATTGGCATCAAGATTTTTAGTTACCAACGTGAGGTCAGCGTTATCAACTGTGCCATCACCGTCGACATCCGTCCGAGGGTCGACTATCGCATTTCCAGATTGTCCGAGTGCCGCTGTAACGAGTGCAGAATCTGTCACATCCACACTTCCATCTTCGTTGACATCCCACGGCGGATATTCGGACACGCTTATATCCACACTCGTCAGCACATTTCGTGTGAGCGGGTAAATCGGAGATGTCATCCAGAATCGGGTTGTCCCGAAGCCTTAACTTCCGCAACTTCGTCAAACTTGCCAGAGCAGTAATATTACTGATGTTATTATCCGTTGCCCATAACTCCGTTAGGTTCGTCATATTGCCAAGTGCGGTGACATCACTGATAGTGTTACCCGATACATTCAAAAACGTTAGATCCGTCAGCCCACCAAGAGCGGTGACATTACTGACATCGCTATCTACCACTTTCAAACTTCTTAAGCTTGTCAGGTCTTTGAGGGGTTCGAGGTTCCTGACTTGCGTCTTCCTGATAACGAGTGCCGTTAGGTTCACCGCATATTCCAACCCAGTGATATCGGTTATCTTGTCACTACGAAACCCGAGGCTCGTTAGGTGTGTCATCCGAGCTTGTGTGAGATCGTCATCATTTCTGATGCCGAATTTTTTTCGTATCTCCTTCCTGAGGTTATCATCCGGCATCCACACTGATGCATCCGGTGGTGGTGCTATGCTACGTGCTTGACCGGTGCCACCCGCTTGACCGCTAACCTCATCACTGCGTCCTTGAACACCGCCTTCGTCATCGGAAATATGCATTCTCACCAAGTCTATGTCCACTTGATTAACGTATCCATCACCGTTGACATCCGTGCGCGGGGCGACTATCGTGTTGACGTACAACGCAAAATTATGTCTATCTTCAATTCCCTGACCCAGTGCCGCTTCAACGAACTCGGCATCGGCTTCTTGAACACTACCATTGTTATCAACATCCCACGGTGGATTTGTCAGATTGACGTTCACAGTCACTGTTTCTGAGACAACGTTCGGCAGGTTGGTGCCAACTTCATGGATGACACCCGCTGGTATCTGAATTGTCACCTCACGCTCACCCGTTTCCGTTGGATTGATTCTGGCATAGTATATTTGTGCACCATCGGCTGCCCAAAGTCTCGTTGTGACCGACGCTCCCGCATCTCCGCCGACTTCTATTTCGTCGCGTGCGAACCCGTAAATACCTCGTTGAACCCAGATGGCCGCGTCCGCGTTCACGACATGCTCAATATAATTCTTGGATTCAAAGTGAATCCCGATCTCGAAGGGTCCTTGTTTTGTTCCATCATCCACCGTAATGATCGGTGTTGGACCCGTACCCGTATTACGCCCGCTAACTTGCCTCCTCGCCCCAGTAATGGTCAATGTTAGTGGATCTGGGTTTGAGAGTGTTAGCCCTGTGTCGTCTGAATCGAAGATTTTCGCTTCGGTAATCTCAAAACTTCCTTCTCCGGCAGTGGTCGGCGTAAAGAACAGTGTCGCAACTATAGGATCGCTGTGCGTCACACGCCAGTCAATAACATTATCTATCGGATCGTTGGGTAGCCAGAGGTTCGCGCCGATTGTTATTGAATCACCGGCGTTATGGTTGATAATAGCAGTGCCGTCGGTATCATCTGAGTTGTATGAAACCGTCAACGCCCCAAGGTTTTCACTGGGATCGACTGTTATTTCGTAACGATGTGCCCTCGAGCGATCCTTTAACTCTACATCAATGAATCCTGCTTCACCCACGCGTTTAGTGCCTACCGACGGAACGAGATGAACAGTACCTGCGATCGGTCCCCGCACGGGAACGTTAAGACTGGGGATATCGTTTTCCCCGAATGCCAACTCATTCTCGAGCGTACGCTCATATAAGCGAGCCTCATGGATCCCAACCTGATGATTTCCAGTCTGCAGTGTCTTAAATTTAACAGTGAAGAGCGTCCCTTCGGAAAAATCACCGGGACTATTATTCAAATTAAGCACTCTCTGAACTCTGCCATTTACCTCACCGCTCCGACCCCCAATAGACAGATAGAGAATGTCAAACTGGTCCTCCCCGGGCTGGATGGGATTGGGGTAACTCAGCGAAAGGTCAGCAGAGTATTCGATGGTCATACCGAATACCAAAACATTCTGAGGGTTTACGATTTCGACACTCACCACAAATTCTTCGTTTGGGGACGGATCCCGGGAGGGTCCAACGAGTAGCAAAGTCCCACTTGGTGGCTCTGGGGGCGGTGGTGTCTGTGCAGATGCACTCTGGATGAACCCACGGCTCGCGATAAGAGCGAGTACGAAAAATAGTAAAGCACAATAGTTAGAAACCGTTCTCATGGAAAATTGAGATTCGGTAAGCACATAACAGCATTTATGCGCTGTATTCATATTTTCATTACCTCCTGCGGTTAAGTACACATATCAGTTTTTTGCAAGAATCTTGCTTTAAAAAACCTTTGTCACTACCAAACTCGCTCTCGCAAGTATCGTGAATTATAATAATACATAGACACTTCAGTGACCAGTGGACGAGAATACGTCCCCTCATTGCTGACGAGGGTCCCACACCTGTTACTGAAAAGGGCATCTAACTACGCCTATTCACACTGTATCGTTAATTACATATTTCAGCATAAACCTGTATTGAAATTAGCGTTCGTGATGCCTAAGGTCATATCAAGGCACACAAAATTAAATTTTAAATAATAAAATTATATGCGCCATTTAATCAGCAAGCATCAGCAAGTTTCGTGCCAACGTCCTTAAGAAAACCCAGATTCATATCAAAAATGTTGACGCCGCAAAGCCCAAAATGTCGTGATAATATAGATGGACACTGGATTTACCAAATTGAGTGTAACTACTCACCATCTCTGAAGGAGAGAAAGAAATAATGCTCGTGTGTAAAGGATATTCCATTGCCAATAGGCATAAATTGTAGAACATACCGCAATTTTTGCAGTCAGTCTGCAAAAATTGATACACTCGATTTCTACACGGATGCCACCCGTACAGGATTGGCATTTCTCAGATAGGTACGAGAATTTTCCGATAGCAAACGCTGTAAGGAAACCGCGCCACCGTATGAGTTTCAGCGGACATTTGAAACCGAAATCTGTACTCTAACGTTTATATTTTCATAAATGTTTAAAAGAGAAGTGTGGAGTGAAGAAAAACGCATTCCATCTTCTCAATGAACAAACCACCAATATTGTAAGGAGAACACAATGACTTCGGAAGCGTATTGGAAAGTACTACAGAAATACAACCGTATGCTGGCGTTAAATTGGGAAACACTTGTATCGGCGCGTATTGAAGGCGATATGAAGCGGATACGGAGAGCAGAGCGGAATTATTTCCAGTCACTGCGGAGTGCCATCGTAGCAACGCAAAATGCGGTTTCAGAGCGGGTAACTGCGCGGTAACATGACCAATACCAGATACGCGTGTCCATGAAAAACAGAGATTCAGAGGGACCGCATGCGTATCGGTGTTACCATCTCCTTTCATTCATGTGAGTTGGATACGTGAAATTCTCTTCTAACGTCACTGTTATTTTAATATCTATAGGACTTACGCATGATGCTCTTTTGTAGCATAACCTGTTAGGTTGTGCCACGAGAACATCTGTGTTTTTTGGCGGTTCTCCCTCTAACAAAGCGTCCTATGGTCAAAATCGCGTAAGTCCTGATCTATTTTATAGAAGGCGCGCGGTTTCCTGCCGCGCCCGACGATTCTTAACCCGTAGGCGAGGTTTCCTTGGGAAACACCCAAGCAAAAACACCTCGCCTTTTTGCTTTCTACAAACATACCCCCTTGCAGGGCTGAACAGGGAGCAGCAGGCTTTCGTACAAATATCCCACTACGAAACTGATATTTCCCAGATAGGTGTGAGTTTTTGAAATTCGATGCGGTTGGACACTTGGGTGGCACGCGTTAGTGGGAGGGGTAAAGGATGAAAGGAACCTGCCAATCCTGAGCGAAACGGTGTTAAAAGATTGCAACAGTGTGCGAAGTATGATAGAATAAATAGCGACATTTCGCCATAACTCTCTATTAGGAATCCATAAATCCAGCGATCAAGGTTACCGCAAACATCAATATTATGAATACTTCCCATCTACGTTATCTACACGTTGCACAAGACGTTCTAAAACAAATTGAGGAGACACAAACCGACGCGATTGCCCAAGCCTCTGAGGTGTGCGCAAAGACAATAGCAGAAGACGGCCTCGTTTACCTATTCGGATCCGGGCATTCCCGCATGCCGGTTGAAGAAATTTTCCCACGTTACGGCAGTTTTCCGGGTTTCTTTCCCATCGTTGAATTAGCAGTTACGTTCCACAACCAAGTCGTCGGTTGCAACGGTCAGCGTCAAGCACTCTTTCTGGAAAACGTCTCAGGATACGCAGAGGTAATTCTACGCAATTTTACCTTCCGTCCACATGATTGCATGATGGTGTTTTCCAATTCCGGTACAAATATCCTACCTATCGAAATGGCGATGGGAGCGAAAGCACAGAACCTGCCTGTCATCGCAGTGAGTTCAATTGCACACAGCAGCGCATCGCCGTCAAAACACGCCTCCGGCAAACGCTTATTTGAAGTCGCCGATCTAACGATCGACAATTGTAATCCGCCGGGAGATGCCGTCGTAGACATTCCGAATTTAGCATACCCTGTGGGACCTACGTCCAGCATCGGCACACTTTCGATTGTCAATGCTATTAAATGCCGAGTTGCAGAACTCCTGACAGAGTGTGGGAAACCTCCTGTCGTGTTGACCGGTGCTCATTTCCTCGGTGCGGAAGAATCGGCGAAGCAGATTGAGAGGGCTTATGACGATTATAGAGATCGCGTTCAAGGTCGTTAGCGCGCCACGATTTTTCCGTTGACTTTTCACCCACAAACCTATATACTTTAAGAAGGACACAGAACGCTGGGTTTCCTGAAGTAAGTTTGCATCCGATGGACATTCCGATGCCGAAAACTACCAAAAGAATCGCAGTGATGGGTGGGACATTCAACCCAATTCACTACGCGCATCTGATCAGTGCTGAACAGGTCCGGACAGGGTTAGGCTACGATAAAATTCTGTTCATTCCTTCTGCCAGACCCCCGCATAAGGTCGCAGACACTGATATTATCGAACCGGAACATCGGTATCAAATGGTGCTTTTAGCAATCGCAAAGAACCCGCATTTTGAAGTGTCGCGAATTGAATTGGAACGCGCAGGTCCGTCATATACCATCGAGACCCTGAAAGCCTTGAAAAAATTGTATGGGGAAACGACTGAACTGGCATGGATTATTGGAGCAGACTCTCTTATTGAGTATAAAGTCTGGAGAGACTTCGACGAAGTGTTGGAACGATGCGTTATGATCGCGACAACACGTCCGAATTATGACCTGAATCGAGTTCCGTTAGAAATCCGAAAACGGGTTACCTCCTTTCCGATAACAGGCGTTGATATATCCGCCACAGTTATCCGGGAGCGGGTTCGGAAAAGTCTTTCAATCCAGTATCTCGTGTCAGAAGGGGTCCAAGCGTATATCGATCAGCATCAGTTGTATCTATAATTGAAGTAATCCGTTTAAAAAATCAAGGCACCAAAATTAGAAAATAAGGAAACGAAAGACGTGCAACACACATGTAGTATGTGCGGAACAGTTTACGATTTCGTGTGGAAAGAGGGAACGCCTTTACCGAAAAACTTCCCTTTCTGTAGTGCGCGGTGTAAAGCAGCAGACTTGTCAAAATGGCTAAACGAGGAATACACTATTGGCACCGCACTACCAAATACGATTTTGTCGGACACCGAACATGAGATTCTTGCTGAACTCGCCGAATTGGGCGTGCGCCCTGACGATGACACCGACTAACTGATTGGCACAGGAAGAAGGAAGTAGAGCAAAGCGCGTAGCTCGTAATGAAATGGAGAGCGGATATAAGGAAGGCGCGTCAAAGCTCAATCTCACGTCGTTTAACCGCAAGGAATAATTAAAAAAGGTTTAGAAACCACGTTAATATTAGATGAATTGCACATTAGCGGAACTTCGGGCACACCCGAAGTCCATCAAAATTCAGAAGTACCTCTCAAACAAGCTGAGCGAGAAACGTTATCAGCATGTTCTCTCTGTACAAGAGTTGAGCGTTGATTTAGCACGTGTTCATGGAGCCAACGTCTGGCATGCCAATCTCGCTGCGCTTTTGCATGATAGTGCAAAATGGATGAGTACTCAAGAATTACACAGCGAAATAAAACGCTACGAGATTCGTCTCGATCCGATTGAAGAGCAAAATCCGTCTCTTTTGCATCCATTCATCGGCGTAAAAATTGCAATAGAGAAGTTTGCTGTAACGGAACTCGAAGTCCTTGAAGCCATTCGGAACCATACAACAGGTAGCCCATCAATGGGTATTATTGCACAGATATTATATGTTGCGGACTTTGCAGAACCGACACGGACCCATAAGGAGGTCGATGTCGTGCGGGAGCTGGCACACACAGATTTGGATCGAGCGGTGCATCATGTGGCACGTACAGAAATTGTGTATCTCTTAGAAAAAGGGGTGTTGATTCATCCGAATACGCTTCATACCTACAACAGTACGTTAGAAGGTGGCGAGATTTAAAAACAGAGGCGGTTTCCGTGCGCCGCCGGACGAGTCATCATTACATCAAAAGCCAAGCCTGAAACGTAGAGGCGAGCTGTGCTTGCTTTCTGTATAGTAACGAAAACATAGCCTGTAATGAAATGGAGGGGTTTTTGCTTGGGTGTTTCTTCAGATCTTGATCAATAACCGTCAAATCTCAAACCTCGTCGTTTAACCGCAAGGTAAATTAAAAAAGGAAATCACAATGGGAACCGAAAAGAATACGTTAGACATGGTAAAAGCTGCAGCATCTGTAGCGATGAGCCGACGTGCAGAGGACGGAATCATTCTCGATCTGCGGAAACTTGATGGCTTCACGGATTTTTTTGCAATCTTCAGCGGCACCTCTGATATTCAAATAGAAGGTATATCGCAAGCCATCATTGAGGAACTCGAAACGAACTGGGCACAGCGTCCTTGGCATCAGGAGGGTGAGCGCAAAGCAGATTGGATTCTGTTAGACTATGTGGACTTTGTCGTACATGTTTTTCTTTCCGATAGGCGTTCCTACTATAATCTTGAACGCTTGTGGGCTGAGGCAAACCAGATTGAATTGCCAGAATTAACGATGCCTATTCACCAAGAAACATGGGAAGAAGATGTGGATCCTGATGGTGTATTGGTTTTTGGTGAGCAGGAGAAAAGCACGCCAGAGGGTAATTTCGTTTTGGCGAGATGCGTCGTTAAAAATCTGGAGTAGAGAAAACGGAAAGATTACTTAGGTAGGTTAATCGATGGCAAAAAGGAGAACTGTGACGTTATCGGTGCCGCCATAATCGAGTGCCTTGTTGACGAGGTTTTCTGCCGCCTCTTCAATATTGCGGGCAGTCGTGATAATCTCAGCAATCTCATTATCGTCGACAATCATGTCATGCAAGCCATCGGTACAGGCGAGAACGATGTCACCTGGACCAAGCGGGTAGGCATCAGCGCTGACAGTGACAGTGGGTATCAAACCGACAGCCTGTGTAACGATATTTCGTTTTTCATGAACACGGCTTTCTTCCGGAGTTATTTCACCCTTTTCGACCATCTTTTGAACGAAAGTATCGTCTGTTGTTATCTGTGTGATTTTTCCATCGCGTAAGACATAGAGCCGGCTATCCCCGACGTGGACATAAGCGAGGTAGCTGAAGGTAACAAAGCCTGCGATAAGGGTTGTGCCCATACCGCGTGCTTTGCCACTGCTCTCGGCGGCAGTGTAGATATGCTGATTCGCTTCCTCCGCGAGTTCGGTCAAAACTGCAAGCCTTTTCATGGGACCTAAATCGCTCTGTGGAGATGCTTGGGTTTTCGCCCACTCCTGAATAATCTCAAGAGCAATAAGGCTCGCGACATCGCCGCTTTCATGCCCACTCATACCATCAGCGATGGCAAATAACTGGAGTTGCGTATTAAAATAGTATCGGTCTTCGTTTCTTTCACGAAGTTTACCTGTGTCTGTTTTTGCTGCAAACTGCATTTTTCTATCGCCCGGGTAGTCTGTGGTCAGGAATACAAAAAGGCTAATGTATACTTATTCAAGATGGTGCCAGATTCACTCAGAAAAACCACATATCTTCTTTGAAATGCCAACTGCATAGAAGAACGATGAAAGTAAATCTCGGTTTCAAAATTCGCCACTAAGCCCAAAAAAAAAGTATATTGGGTTAATCATTTCAATAATACGATTAAATAATATGAATGTCCTAAGCATTCATTATGCCAAAGTTAAACGAATACATCAAATTAATAAATCACCTAAGCTGCGACATTATACATAATTAGAGAAACTTCTGATTTTTCAAGTAGAAATAGAACCCAAACCTCTGCAATTTTTTTCGTTGGAACTTGAGTATTTGCTATCAATAAGGTAAACATGCACGTAGAAAGATTATCCACGAGTCCAAAGCACCATTTCTTCGGATACTACGGAATTAATCCGTGGGATAGCACGACAAGGTATCATCTCGCGTTAGAAACAGATTTTCATACGCACCGTCCTCTGCCCGAAGATATAGCAACAGTTGGACTGATCCATTGTGAAACGCACGAATTTATCTCGCATGCGAAGACCGCCGCTTTTAACCTCCAACAGGGAAGCATGCTGCACTGGATAAACGCCACCAAGAACGGCGAATACGACGCTGCCCGTGCGGAATTCACGTTTAACGATTGGGAAGATGGCAACCTTGTATCACGTGCTTTAAATCCGAGGACGGGTGCCACCCGAACAATTCAGGGTGCGATCGCGGCAGTGTCCCCGAATGCCCCACTCGCGATTGGGCTCAACTACGGACGGATGGCACACTGCCGTGCTGTCGTCGGCTACGCTACACACACTCAATCCAGCGAGGTTATAGCACAACCGGAGGACGACGGCTTATATCAACTCAACCTCCAAGACGGGAGTTCTAAACTTGTTCTCTCTATCGCGGATGTCATCCGAGCAAGCGGAGACGAACGGATGGTAGGCAAACGGAGCTGGTTCAATCACGTTCTATTTAATACAGATGGAACACGACTTCTATTCTTCTGTCGCGTCCGTCGAGAAACAGGGCACTGCACCTCGCTCTGGACAGTAAACCCTGACGGCTCCGATTTGGAAATGCAAATCCCATTCGACTACCGAGTGTCTCATTTCGACTGGCGGACCCCTACGCGAATTCTTGTCTCTTCAGACATATCCGGTGAGATGGGGTTTGTTGAATTCAGCGATGGGGTCCGCGATTTCACGCCAATCGGACGTGGTGTCTTGCCGAGCGATGGACACGCTTCATTCTCACCAGAGCGCGAGTGGTTGCTTTGTGATACGTACCCTCGCGGTCCAGAACGTTTGGCACAACTTATGGTTTACAATATCGCTGAAAATCGAAAGATTATTTTGGGCGAATTCCATCACGAAGAGCAGTTTGTTGGAGATATCCGATGTGATCTACATCCACGCTGGGCACCTGATGGAAAAACGATTACTTTCGACTCGGTCCATGAAGGCTCCCGACAGGTATATCTCGTGGAGATACCACACGCAAGCCTATAGAGGCTTGCGGGACAATGAAGTAAGTCCTTCAGTCTCATAAATCGTAGCCCGTAATGAAATGGAGGGCGGATTCGAGAAAGGAACGTTATAGTAAAATCCGAGAATATGTTCACACTTGTAGCATAGGAAACTGTTGGTTTCCTGTGCCAAGTACCTTCACAGTTCGCGTGACAATACGAGTGTATAAGTAATTACGGAATCTACTATAAAGTTCAAACCTACGTCATTTAACCGCAAGGTATAATTAAAAAATGTTGCGAGATGATTGTTCTCATGAAAAGATTGGACGATTGCCAAGTATTGTGAGATGCCCTTTTGCGAATATTAAGGAGCATCGCGAGGCTGTCGTTTTGACAACGGTTCCGGCATGGAAGGTCGTTAATGGCATCGATATAAAGACGCAACACCCTATCTACGTTGAGGGCAACACGCAGGCAGATATGGCTGCGCTCGCAGAGGCGTGTAAGGGGGAAGTGGTTTACGGTATCGGTGGAGGGTTAGCAATTGATACTGCCAAATATGTTGCTGCTGCCAAAGGGCTGCCACTCGTTGCACTCCCTACCATTCTATCAACTGATGCTTTTCTTACGGATGCGACAGGCATTAGAGAAAATGGGTGTGTCCATTATCTTCCGTCAAAAGCACCGGACACTGTTATTGTAGATATGGATGTCTTGTGCAACGCCCCTGTCTCAATGCGGGCAAGCGGTGCTGCGGATGTCCTCTCAATCGCGACAGCACTCTGGGATTGGCAGGAAGCGGAGAAGATGGGTGAAAACCCATCAAACCAACAACTAACACCACAAGCGGTTGGCATAGCAGGCACCCTCCTCCAAACGCTTCTGGATAACGCACGGGAAATCGGTCGCGGGACCCCAACCGGTTTGAAACTTCTACTCGACCTGCTCTGTATGGAGGTCCAACTCTGCTATCAATGCGGACATAGTCGTGTTGAAGAGGGAAGCGAACATTACTTTGTCTATGCAATTGAGAACCATTTGACACTCACTGAAGCCGGATACCCCGATGGCGAGACTACAAATGGAGCTCCTCTTTTACACGGTGAATTGGTAGGGCTCGGTATCCTCCTGATGGCTGCATTGCAATCGCAACCTTGGACGCAGTACCGTCACGCGTTGGAGTGTTTGCAGATCAACTATCTTCCGTCGGCTGTTGCCCGTGATACAATTACCGAAACGCTTATTAACCTATCCGATTACGTCGCGCAACACCAACTCCCACATACCGTCGCGACATCTTTACGGATCACTCCTGATATTGCCGAACGGACGATACAAACCATATTAGATTAAGCCAGAGGACATGGAGAAGAAAAACGAAAAAATGACATTAAACACGCAAATTTCCGAACTGCATGAGCAGACACTCGTGATAGATTCACACAACGATGCAATCGTAGCACATATCCGTCGAGGCAATGTCAGCCTCGCTGACGAAAACGCCCAAAACACCACAGATCCAGTTGGCACTATCGCTTATCTCCGCGGTCCTGTTCCCCGTGAAGAGGAAGCTATCGGCATCCAACTCAACATACCGCAAATGCGGCAGGGAGGTATTGATGCCGCCTTTTTCGCTGTTGACGTGACACGCGCATGGAAAAATCATCTCGCGTATGCATTAGATGCCTTTGGCTGGTTCGAGGCAGAAGTGACAGCAAACGCCAACGACATCTGTATCGCACGGAAGGCAAGCGACATCCGAGAAGCGAAAGCATCTGGCAAACTCGCTGCAGTTCTTGTCATTGAAAATAGCGAAGCCGTCGAACGAAGTCTTAATATTCTCCGCTCGCTGTACATGCTCGGTGTCCGCTCAATCGGATTGACCCATAACCTCAATACATGGGCATCGACAGGAAATGATGAAGAGGACATGGGCGGCGGTTTGACTCGATTTGGCATGACATTAGTCAAAGAGATGAATCGCCTCGGTATGCTCGTGGATGTCTCCCACATTAGTGAGCGTGGCTTTTGGGACGTTCTGGAAATATCGGAACACCCTGTCATTGCGTCCCATAGCAACTGTAAAACGTTGTGTCGTCACTCGCGGAACCTGAGCAATGAGCAACTCAAAGCCTTAGCGGCTAACGGCGGGGTTGTCGGTATCACTTTTGTTCCGGGGTTCATCACCACCGATGGGTGGACGAAAATGCCTCCCTTGGCGCAACTGCTCAATCACTTCGCCTATGCAATCGACATCGCTGGGATCGACCATGTCGGCATCGGCTCAGACTTTGACGGTGGTGGCGACCTGCTCAAGGATGCCAGTGAGTTCATCAAAATCGCTGAAGGGCTTAGTGAGCGTGGCTATTCTGACGAAGATATCCGAAAAGTGCTTGGGGAAAATCACCTACGTGTTTTTGAGGCGGCGTGTGGATAAGGCAAGTGTCTTGCTCCTAATGTCCCTTCAGTTTCGGTTAAGAAACTTTCGCAAGGGCATCGGAGACAGACTGCCACACCTCATCTACAGTGATTTTTTTCATACAGATATTATCTTTGCATTTATCTGTGAATTGCTTACAGGGACTGCATGGAACATCATGGCGGATGGTTTGGTGCAACGCACCGAGCGGTTGAAATCGGATATGATTGCCGGGACCGAACAGGGATACAGTGGGGGTTCCGACCGCTGCGGCAATGTGCATCGGACCGGTATCGTTTGTGAGAAAGAGATCGCACTTTTCAATACAGGCGGCTAACTCCCGAACCTGAAGATTTCCAGCGAACGGGACAGCGCGCGCATCCATCAGATTCGCAACAGTATGCACGAGTTCCGACTCCCTTTGTCCACCGAAAATCAGGACCTCGGCATTGAAATGCCGGACCAGCCCGTCCCCAATAGCTGCGAAGCGATCGGGCATCCATTCGCGCAACTTCCACCCTGCCCCCGGAAAGACTCCTACCTTTAAACCCGTCTGCGTAACACCTGCAGTGTCAAACCGCTGCGAGGCATCTGTTCGCTCAGACTCAGCAAGAAACAGTTCGAGACTTTGATCTACTGCTGGAATTCCGGCTGCATGCAACAGATCAAAGTAGTGTGCTGTGGCGTGCTTGTTACCCCGCTCAAGGACCCGAACAGTACAGAGTGCGCCTTTACCAATACGCTCGGCGGCACCGCTGAAATACATCAGCAGCGCAGTTCGAAATTTCCGCTGGAGATCAATAGCCAGCGTGAATTTGCGTTCACGCAGGACTCGGACAGTCCGTAACATCTCGCCCGTATCCTTGTCTTTTAGCGAACCGATCAAACGTAATTATCTCATCAAGGTGTGGATTTTCTCGAAGGACATCCGCCGCCTGTTTTCCTACGAGCATAGCAATATACGCATCCGGGAAATGGGCGCGGACCGCTCGAATAGCGGGCGTTGTAAGCACGATGTCGCCAAGGGAGCTGAGGCGAATGAGCAGTATTTTTTGAGAAGCCATCTGTTCAACCGACGACCCGTTTTTCAAGATTATTTAATGCCTCTTCAACCAACGTATCTACATCTAAACCCGATTCTGCGTCGGCTAAATCGGTAACCGATGCGCGGGTAGCGGGATGCTTGGGTACAAAGAGCGAACAACAATCTTGGTGTGGACGTGTGGATACGTCAAAAGTACCGATCCGTTGTGCCTTTTCGATAATTTCAGCCTTGTCCTCGCCGATAAGTGGACGCAGAATTGGGATATCGGCGATTGCTTCAATCGATCGGAGGTTTGTTAGGGTTTGGGAAGCGACTTGTCCGAGGCTTTCACCGGTGACGAGTGCTTCCGCATTCTCCATAGTTGCAACGCGCTGCGCAATGCGTGTCATCATCCGCCGATACAGTAGAACCCGGAAGGGTGACGGTGTTGCAGCGACGATAATCTGCTGAAGTTCAGCAAACGGAACGAGATAGACAGTACTACGATAGTTCGGCACCGCCAAAATTTGAGCGAGTTCGATCACTTTCTCCAAGGAGGCTTTATCGGTATACGGATAACTGTAAAAGTGGACAAAAACGGCTTTCGCGCCACGTTTTATCATCTGCCACGCGGCGACAGGGGAATCAATCCCACCAGACAACATGACGAGTACCTTACCACTCACACCGACTGGCAATCCGCCAACCCCTGGAATCTTCTCGGTGGAGATATACGCCGCATTGTGTGTTATTTTGACCCAACAAACTAAGTCAGGATTATGCATATCGGCACGCGTGCCCGTTTTCGTGACGAGATACCCACCAACCTCCGCACTCACCTGCGGAGAGGTTAACGGAAAGGTTTTATCCGTCCGTCGTGTCTCAACTTTAAGGGACTCGTAAGAGACATCTTGGATGTGTCGTAGGGCAACCTCTTTAATGGCGGTGATGTCCCTTTCGGTACGAGAGGAGAGCTCAAAATGAGCAATACCCATGACCTGCCGTAGACGTCTCTTAACTTCTGTTATGTCAGCATTCTGCCCAAGATGCACGAGAATTCTATCGTGAAGTCGCTCTACTTCTGCATATCCTGTGCCGCGCAGGGTGAGTTTAATGTTATCCACAAGCCGTTTCTCAAAAAACACCCTATTTTTGCCTTTGAGTCCAACTTCGGCATAATGAACACTAAATAATTCTTCCATTTTTTTAATAATTAGGTTTCTGCTCCTCGTTCCACTGCGTTTCACGAGGGTTCTTGGTGAATCGCAAGGGAAATGGACTTGCTCGCGCTTAGGAAGCCCGAACAGCATCTGTCAAACTAAAGTGGAGTTTTGCCACATCCCCCAATGCCTCACTTCCATGCAGTGTGATAAACTCTTTACCTGCTTCCACAACCTGATACGAACCCCTCGGTAAACAAATCCCATACTCTTCAGATAGCGTTTCCATTCCATTAAGAAAAGCATCTCGAGCGATGATAGAGGCTGCAGCAACGGCAATATCACGTTCTGCTTTTGGGACCTGTATTATCTCCATCCCTAAGGGGTCACTACGGGAAATTCCGCTTTGAAGTGGAACTGAGGTCCCTTGTTGCGAATGCAGTTTTCCCTCCATGCGTTGGCGTAGCTGCTGCGTGATGAGGTCGTCTTTAGAAAACCTATCAACAAGTGCCTGCTTAGTGCCTACTCGGGTCGCTAAGGTATGAATGGCTTCTGCATGGAGCGATGCCAGAAAATGGTTTAGGTTTTGCCCTCGCTTACGGAAGTCGCTATAAAGGGAATTATATTCAGTGGGCATTCTTTGTACGACGACGATATGCCGTTCATAGCGAGCGTGCATCAATTCAGCGAGGTTCACGTATACGACTATTTGACAACGTTTTTCCCATCATAATGCCCAAATCAGAGAAGGTTTCTCGGCATTCTGCGTCCACGTAAACGGCTGCGACGACGAGGGAACCGAAATAATCACCCTTTCCCGCTTCATCCGTGCCAATCCATGTGTCCCAATTGTGTATTGCGTTCATTTCGTCCGCCGGATACTATTCGTCTCGTGTTCTTGTGTTAATCTCATTCTCATACTGAATTTTGAAGTGTAGCGAATTCGGTAACCTGTTCTCCTACAGCTTTGACGCGCGCAGTCAATTCAGCATCGTGTAAATTACCGTCCGCATCAAACGCCTCAGATGAGTTTGGGATTGATACGTCATTCGGTACAACCCATGCGTGAAGCGCGGTCCCTACCGTCCGTAACATAGACAAGGCATTCACCGCCCCCATTCGTCCCCCAGATACACCGACAAGCCCAACAACCTTATTCTCAAACTCATCAAATCCCATCAAGTCAAGTGCGCTTTTAAGGACACCGCTGAAGCTACCGTGGTATTCAGGTGATCCAAGAAGTATGCCGTGTGCGCGTTTCACCTTTTCCCGTAACTTGAAAACGCCAGGCGGATAGTCACTTTCGCTTGTGACAGAGCCTTGAAAAACGAGGTCGTATTCACCGAGTTCAAGCAACTCAACTTCAGCACCTGCATCTTTGGCAGCGGAGAGCGCGATTTGGAGCGCAGCATGCGTTGAGCTACCCTGTCGCAGACTCCCACAGATGGCAACGACGTAGATGGATCGGTCATCGGTACTCTTCATTCAGGCATCCCTTTCAGAAAAAATAAAATCGCACAATCTTCGTCAATTCAGTATTACTTACCTAAATCCATTGAAGTTCAACTTAGCATACTACAGAAATAAAGGTATGTCAAAGGATTTTTATCAACTTCGTGTCAAGCCTCCGTTGCTTTAGCTCGGGGATGTAGACAAGGTACCTCTTGGAAAGGACCAAACCTCTGAAAAAAAAACGTTGACTTTTTGGCTCAAAATGTGCTATAATTGTATCAGACTGGTCGCTTCAACACATCACAAAATGCTAATCCAAAAACTCGCATTTGTGGATTTAATAGAATATCAAGAAAGACGCGTCATGGCGAATCTTGATAAAACAGGTTTAATACTCAAGGTTGGGGTAGCAACCTTTGGAGGAGAGGGTGTCAGACTTGCATAGCAAGCACCCCTTGTTGATACCGCAAACGCTTCTGCGTCATGATGCAGAAGCCTCGCGCTTCAGCGCGGGGTCTATCACGTGAATTAAAACGCGAGTCTTTTTATGAATAGATTGGCTGGAAGCCGGTCTTAACGCAAACTGCTCGCATAGCATGTTAATTTGTTTTAGACATGAGGAGGTTTACTCATGCGTTTAATGTTGTATTTATTCGCCGTTGCACTCCTGATGGTAGGCAGTGCTCTTACCACACACGCTATAGTCCAAGACGACGGCTTAATTCTTTACTTCAGTTTCGATGAAGCAGAGGGTAGTACAGTTAAAGATGAAACCGGTGGCGGAAATGATGGCATGATCACTGGAGCAGATATTGTTTCCGATGAAGTCGTCCACGGCAAAGGATCGTTGTTATGCGACGAGGCTGGTGACGGTGTGACGGTTGAATCATTTCAAGAATTAGAAGATTACACGGACAACTCCTATCTCTTCTGGCTCAATTTCACTGTCCCGAACTCCGGTGCCTGGGATCAAATCATCGCGAAAAAGGCACCGGGTTCTGACCGTTCCCCGGGTATCTGGACATGTAACCGCGTGACTTTGCACATCCACTACCGGTTCAATCCGGGGAACGCGGGCAGTCTTTGTGTTGGTCCAGAAGGAGAAGGTGACGAATTTGCAACCGGTGACTGGCACCACATGGTGGTATCAAAGAGGGTGACAGTTTCAAATTTTATATTGATGGCGAAGTGGTTGATGAACAGACCGTCCCGGCAGATCACGCACAAGGCGAAGAGAAACTCTATATCGGTAAAACGGGTTATAACTCTGCGAAGTTCTACCTCGACGAACTCTTTGTCTACGATAGAGCACTCAGTGCTGATGAGGTAGAAAATGTCATGGAGGGTGGTCTTCTCACCCCTGTCGAACCACAAAACAAACTCGCTACGACGTGGGGACAACTGAAAACACGTCGTGATTAATTTCACAGCACAAAATGTGGGATGGCTCTCCTGTCGTCCCACATCCATTTTCCCATCTGTGTCTGCCTGTTCGTCAAAGTTTATTTATCTCCGAGAGTGAAAACCTAACCTCTATCGCTACAGTAAACAGACACGAGTCCAAAAATCAGCAACAACACAGTGACAGCCTTGAATTTCATTCCTCTCTACCTCCCTTCGTTTTAATCACAAGCATATCCGAAATCAAACATCATCTCTTTTTATTTTCTGAAGAAATCAGGAAATTAGGGATTCAGATTTTTATTGACATATTTAAGTGTCTGTTTTATAATGACTTTGTGAGTTGAAGCGCGAGTCTTCTTTATCCAATGGGTTGGTTGAAAGCCATCCATAATAAACTGCTCGCATAGCACATTAATTTGTTTAAGACATGAGGAGGTTACTCATGCGTTTAGTTATGTATATACTCGTCGCTGCACTACTAATAATAGGCAGCGCGCTCGCCACGCATGCCGAGGTCGCAGATAAAGGTTTAATCCTTTACTTCAGCTTCGATGACGCAAAAGGCGGAAAGCTTGTAGATGAAACCGGTGGCGGAAATGATGCTGAAATAGTTGATGGAGCGAAGATTGTCAAAGATGAAGTCGTCCACGGCAAAGGAGCAATGTTATTCGCAAAGGCCGGTGATGGTGTGACAGTTGACTCCTTCAAAGAATTAGAAGATTATACGGACAACTCCTATCTCTTCTGGCTCAACTTTACCGATCCGAACTCCGGTGGCTGGGATCAAATTATTGCGAAAAAAGCCCCTGGCTCTGACCGTTCACCCGGTATCTGGACCTGTAACCGTGTGCCGCTGCACATCCACTACCGGTTCAATCCGGGGAATGCAGGAAGCCATTGTGTTGGTCCCAAAGGGGAAGGCGATACATTTGATGAAAATAAATGGTATCACATTGCTGGTATAAAAGAAGGTACCGACTTCCTGTTTTACATCGATGGCAAAGAGGTTGATAAACAGACTGTTCCGAAGGATCACGCGCAAGGGGAAGAGAAACTTTACATCGGTAAAACGGGTTATGCCGCTGCGAAGTTCTATATCGATGACCTCTATGTCTACGACAGAGCCCTCAGCGAGAAAGAGGTTGTAAACGTTATGGACGGTGGGCTGCTTCCTGTTGAACCTCATGACAAACTCGCCTCTACGTGGGGACAACTGAAAAAAAATCGTGACTAACTTCACACCCTGAAACATTGGGACGGCTCCCGCGCCGTCCCACACTTACTCTCTCATCGGCGTATGTTTACGCATCAATGCCGCCTACTCCCCGCAATGAAAACTTTAATCACCTTCTTTGTTCTGCTCATTTCGCTTTCATCAATACAAGGGTGGTGCGATACTGAACAGGAACTAAACAGTAGATTTGAACGCGGTGTGTCCTACCTTGATGCGGAACAGTACGATCTGGCACTCGCCGAATTTCAAAACATCCGGCAGGAATTCACGACCTCAGAGAGTATTGGAAGTCTCGCAGAGTGCTATATCGGCATTGTCTATCAGGAGCTTAACAGCTTAAGCGAAGCGGTAACAGCATATCAGAGTGCTTTAGCACTGAAAGCACCGCAGGATGTGCATGGAACCGCGCACCTTCATTTAGGCATCGTTTACAAAACGCAAGGCGAATTGACGCATGCCGAAAACCATCTCAGACAAGCACTCATCCTACTTCCTGAAACCTCAGAAGTACACATCCATCTCGGTGATGTGTATGTGCTGCAACACCGATTGAACGCCGCTGGAAACGCCTATCGCGAGGGTATCCGCTTAAATCCTGACCACACTGAATCCTATTACGGATTGGGAAGGGTGTCAGAACTACAGAATCGCCTACAACAGGCGATGGAATATTACGATGCCGCGCTTGTGCGAAATCAGTATTTATCACAGGCACATTATCGGCGCGCCCTCACCTATCGACGGCTTGGGAATAGCGAACAAGCAGCTGCTGCGATGGCACAGTTTCAACACTTGAAAACCTACGAAGACACGGTCCATCAGTATAGGGAAGCACTCTACCAAAATCCGAACCTGCCGATGCTATACATCAAATTAGGGGAACTGCACGAGGCGTATAACAATTTAACAGCCGCAGTTCGGGTTTACGAAACTGCCACACAGGTGCATCCGTCTTACTTGCCAGCGCACACTCATCTCGGTGAAGTCCTCATCAAACAGCGAGCGTTTGAAAAAGCGGCACTGACGTATCAGAAAGCCACAGAAATCGCACCAGACGACTCACAGACATGGCTGAAGTTAGGTGTCATTTATATCAACCAACAGCAGTTTGAACCAGCGATCGCAGCGTTCAAGCGTGCAATTGTTGTAGATAGCACAGCAGCAGAAGCATATAACAACTTGGCGCGCCTTTATTCAGGACTCGGTAAAGAGATGCAACAGGCAATTGACTTAGCAAAACACGCTGTCTCTTTGGCACCAACTGCGAGACACTACGATACGCTCGCATACGCCTACTATCGCAACACACAATATGCCGAAGCTTTAGAAGCGATTCATCAAGCCATCGCGCTCGCACCAGATACAGACGCATACAACAACCTACTATTGAAAATTCAGGCGGCGCAAAAGGAGGATAGATGAAAAAGGGAATATGTATTGGGTCATTACCGGGCGATTCGACGGAGGCACGGTTTAAACTTGCGAAAGAAGCCGGTTTTGAGGGTGTTGAAATCGACACTCTCACAAACGACACCGACCGGTTCCAGACCAAAGAGATTGCAACACAACATCAAGTGGAAGTGTTCAGCGTGATGAATAGCAAACACTGGTCATGTCCACTTTCCGATGCCGATGACACGGTTCGTGCCGAATCGCGAGAAGGTATGCTTGACTCCATAGCGACCGCAACGACTGTCGGGGCAGACGCAGTGTTACTCGTCCCTGCTGTTGTCAATGATGCGACTCACTACGAAGTGGCGTATGAACGTTCACAAGCGGAAATTCGCAAACTGATTCCAGAGGCAGCCGAAAAAGGTATCACCATCGCTATTGAGAACGTTTGGAATAAATTTCTACTCAGCCCGATGGAATTTTCTCGGTATCTCGACGAATTTGAGAATGAAACAGTGACAGCCTATTTTGACGTTGGGAACATCGTACTGTACGGGTACCCACAACACTGGATCCGCTCCTTGGGTAGCCGTATTTCTAAAGTACATGTCAAAGGTTTCAACGCGAATGAGAGTCGGTTTACCTATCTGATCGAAGACTGCACAATCGATTGGAACGCTGTCATGGTAGCACTTGAAGACATCGGATATGATGACTACATGACCGCGGAACTCCCCGTTGACAGAGATAATCCGGAAGGCAGGGTGCATAGTATCAGCACTGATATGGACAGGATTATCGCTGGGACTGTTTAACACTAAACCCAAAAACACTAACGCAATTGGAAAGTGCCTCTACGAAATAAATGGAAGTTATTATTCAACCGACTTATGCGCAACTTGTGGCGGTTTCAGCGGGAATTATCCGAGACGCGCTGCTAAAAAAGCCGAACCTCGTTTTGGGACTGGCTACCGGTAGCACGCCAATCGGGCTTTATGAAGCCTTGACACGGATGCACAAAACGGAGGGACTCGATTTCTCATCCGTGACGACTTTTAACCTCGATGAGTATGTTGGGATTCCACCGAACCATCCGCATAGTTACCACACCTTTATGGCAACCTACTTCTTTAACGCCGTTAATATCCCTACCGAGAATCGTCATATCCCCCAGAGCACGGCTGTGGCACATGAGGAATTTTGTGAGCAGTACGAAGCCGCAATTGTAAACGCGGGTGGCATTGACATCCAAGTGCTCGGTATTGGAATAGATGGACACATCGGCTTTAATGAACCGAGTTCCTCTCTGGGATCCCGGACTCGCATCAAAACCTTGGCTCAGAGTACGCTGAAAGCGAACGCGTCGCATTTCGGTGGAACCGTGAATGCAGTGCCAAAAATGGCGATTACGATGGGGGTAGGCACAATTATGGAAGCCAAACAGTGTCTACTGCTGGCAAACGGTGAATCGAAAGCGGAAGCGATTGCCCACGCCGTAGAGGGACCTATCACAGCGGAAGTGCCAGCATCGGTGTTACAGATGCATCCCCGAACGGTTGTCATCATCGACGAAGCAGCGGCTGCGCAATTGAAACGCGTAGATTATTATAAACAGGTTTATGCGAATAAGCAGAAACTATTGTCCCAAGGACACTAAGTTTATGCAGTGTGAAACTGATACGCTTGAATAGTCCAGACAAGAGTGTGGAAAATAGAACACTGTGACAATTCTTATTCGTCGGACAGACCGTACTCTTTTACTTTTCGTTGGATTGTTCGTCGGCTCACTTTGAGAATTTCTGCGGCTTTCGCCTTGTTATTGTCCACGGATTCGAGGGTAGCGCGCAGAACCTCTCGGTTAATCTCATCAAGCGACATGCCGACTTCCACATTTAAACGTTGCCCACCGTTATTCGCACCAACTTGCCAGACATCAGGAACCGAAAGTAAATTCGAAAACTCTGTTCCCGTTGCTTTGAGAATGCGTTCGGGTAGGTGAATCTGCTGGATTGTCGATTGGTTGAACATAACAACCATACCTTCAACGCAATTCTTCAATTCGCGGACATTCCCTGGCCAGTCGTATTTCATCAACGTCCTAACTGCCTCTGGTACAATCGTTATTGGCGACTTACCATTTTGCTGGCAAAACTCTTCAAGGAAATCTTTAACGAGCAACGGTACATCCTCAATGTGTTCCTGAAGCGTAGGGAGATGGATAGGCACTACATTAAGCCGGTCGAAGAGATCCGGGAGGAACTCTCGCTTTCTGGCTGCAGCTTCCAGATCATGGTTCGTGGCACAGACAACACGGACATCAACCTGAATTGTTTTGCTACCACCGACCCGTTCAAATTCGCGTTCTTCGAGGACGCGCAAAAGGCGCGCTTGATTGGACGGACTAAGTTGCGAGACTTCATCGAGAAACAGGGTACCACCGTGCGCAAGCTCAAATCTCCCTTTGCGTAGATGATACGCGCCACTAAACGCACCGCGCTCATGACCAAAGAGTTCAGATTCTGCGAGGTTTTCGTTTAGCGTTGCACAATTGAAGGCAATAAGAGAGCCACGCCGTAAACTCCGATGATGAATCGCACGGGCAACCAATTCTTTGCCTGTACCTCGCGCACCGTATATCATCACAGTCGCTTTTGTCGGTGCGATCTGCGTAATCATGTCGCGAATTTTCGTGATCTGAGACGACTTCCCTGTGAGGCGGCGTAATCCTTCTTTCTCATCTATTTGTGATTGTAGTTGCCGATTCTCAAAAGCAAGTCGTTGGTTTTCGAGCGTCCTATGTAGAAGTGCCGCCAGATGGACAGGATTCACCGGCTTCGGGAGAAAAAAGGTGTCTTTATATGCCAGCATCGCTTTGATACCGATATCGGTTTCCAGAATGTTAGGTTCTGTAATAAAAATGACACCGACATCAGGTTGATCCTGCGCTGCAGCATCGAGTAGTGTCAATCCATCAATCCGTTCCGCTCTCAATTGTGCGATGAGAATATCTACCTTGAGGTGCTCAATATGATGAAACGCTTGATACATATTCCCTGTAACGACAAGACGCAGCCCTTGACCTGCAAGTGTTTCACAAACAAGTTCTCGTTCGGTCCTGTCGGCATCTACAATAAGCACCGTTTTCTGCGTGTTCATACTTGGAACACCTTCCAAAATCCCAGATTTTCCACTCAGGGCATTTTATTCAAAAAAATATTTGTTTAAAATTGCGAATTCATGTAAACTATAAGATTATAATATACGATAGAATTATAATACCTGATACGAAGAATTTTGTTTGCACTTTTCCGGAGGAATGAATGGACAAAAAGCTTAGCTCACTGTATAGACTCGGTGGGCTCACTGGCGGCTTGAGCGGCTTTCTCATGCTTGCGTCAAGCATTTGGTTTATTTTTGGTTTATCGACTATTTCTTCACTCCCATCAGAAGAACAGCTTGAATTCATAGGAAAAATCGGGGTTTATCACGGAATAGGGGTCGTTTCGATCATTTTACTTGTGCCAACCCTATTAGCTGGATACGGTTTACTCTCTTCAGACGGCGGCTCACGAAGTACTTTGGGAATAAGCTTCGCCATCCCTTGGCTTATCATAGAATTGATAGCCCATTGCTCACAAACTGCTCCGTTAAACTCGCTATCCGAACTTGCCGGTGAATCGACGACTGCTGCAATTGGCACGTCCCTCTATGCCGTGTGGGCAGAGTGGGGCGAAGCCCTCTTCATGACCGGTGCGTTCCTCTGTGCGCTTCTTGCAGTTTGCTACGGTTCCGCGCTCCACTCGTGGGGAAATTCGGTTGCCGGTTATCTGTTCCTTGTTTCAGTGATCGCCTTCCCAGTAGGCGTTCTTTTAGGCTTCGGGATACAATTGCATGTGCTCATCCGAGGCATCGCGTTCCTGTTCCTTGGAGGTATCCTGATACAAGCACCACATGAAGACGAGACATAGTGGACGATAGAATTAAACAACAGCCACTATGCAATAAAGGTTCTAATAGAACTTACCCTATTCTTCGTCTTCATTTAGCAATCTCTCCAACTCTGCTAAAATATCTTCTTCGTCGCTTTCCGCCTCGGTAGCGTCTGCATCGAGTGTCTCCAAATCAGATCGAAATTCTATGAGGTTGCTGAGATAGCGTTCACGAGTAATATTTTCTGCTTCACCGTGTTCCTCGCGTAAACATTCGCCGCAGAACTCCCCAATCTGTTGAATCCCAGTGTCAATCTGTTGCAATGCTGCTGCTGTATCATCCTCTTGCAGACTCAATTCCGCCTTGGCGATGCTGTGCATCATGAGCATATACCCCTTATATTGGTAACTCCGCCAAGCGATTTCGGAGGGCGCACATTCGCGTGCCAAATTTGTTACAGCAAGATTAGTAGCAGTATCGCGCTGGACATCTTCCCACCGTTTGATACCTGCGAATAACAGGTAACGGGTATAACGATGAAAAGATTCCTCAAACAGGGTTTCCCATTCCTCCGACTCCAATTGAAACCCCTCACGGGTTCCGTGCTGTTCTTCATACTCTCGCAACCTTGCGCAGAAGTAATCGTAATAGGAATCTACACCGTGTGGACGCATACCATCGGGTCGACCGGTCGCGTAAATACGCGAGATAGTGAAGGCATTGGGTTGTACAACGACTACTTCCCTACCATCTTCAATTTGCAGAACACTTACAGGACGTTCTGTATCAAGGTTTAGCGACTCGAGTATTCGATCGAAGGTTTGAACCCACCGTGTGTTTCTTTGTATAGAATCATTCGCCATTTATAATATCCTTTTTTTAAGAGTTTTCAGTTAACTGTTAACTGAAAACTCTTAAAGCATCTGAAAATAATCCTGGAGTGGCGTGACTGTAATATCTCCTCGCTGCAACGCGTCAATAGCGTTAACAGCCGCAGACGCACCGGGTATAGTTGAGAAGATCGGGATATCATGGGCTATCGCCATTTCGCGAATTAGGAGTTCATTAGGACGATGTAAATCACCGGTCGGTGTGTTGATAATTAGATCCACCGCATGATTTTTGATGTAATCATGAATCGTCGGTCTCCCTTTACCGATACTGAAGACCAGCTCTGACTCCATTCCGTTGCGAAGTAGTACCTTTGCCGTTCCGTGCGTAGCGATAAGCTCAAATCCCATGTCGGTCAGTTTCTTGGCGATGAAGATAATGGCACGCTTGTCTTTATTTCTGACACTGATGAAGACTTTACCGCTGATCGGTAAAGTATAACCACACGCCTTTTGTGCCTTGGCAAAGGCGCGGGAAACATCAGTATCAATTCCCATGACCTCCCCAGTCGATTTCATCTCAGGCCCCAAGCGCGTATTTGAGCCGGGGAAGCGGTTAAAAGGAAATACAGGAGCCTTGACGCTGAAATACGCCGGTTCAATTTCGCGCGTAAATCCAAGCTCAGCGAGGGTCTTGCCAGCCATCACACGTGCTGCGAGTTTTGCTAATGGCACACCAATGGCTTTACTAACAAATGGAATGGTTCTGGATGCACGCGGATTCACCTCAAGCACATAAATCTCATCGTTCTTTATCGCGTATTGGACATTCATCAAGCCACGTACACGCAGGGCTTTCGCCAAGGCATAGGTAAAGGTTTTGAGATTCTCAATCTGTTCATCCACGAGCGTATAAGGTGGCAACACGCAGTCACTGTCCCCTGAATGGATACCAGCCTCCTCAATATGCTCCATGATGCCACCGATAACGGTAAGGTTTCCATCGGATATTGCATCAACATCGACTTCAATCGCTTCTTCAAGGTATTTATCAATGAGTACAGGATGTTCAGGTGAAGCTTGAACAGCGGAATGCATGTATTCGTGCAGGAGCTCTTCATCGTAAACGATCTGCATGGCACGTCCGCCTAAAACATACGACGGACGAACGATAACGGGGTAGCCGAGTGCCGCAGCAATAGGGACAGCTTCCTCACTCGATGTCGCAGTTCCATTAGGCGATTGCATTAACCCGATGTCGTCTAAAACTGCTTTGAAAAGACGCCGGTCCTCGGAACGGGCTATATCCTCAGGACTCGTGCCGATTATCGGGACGCCAGCATCTTTGAGCGCGATCGCAAGGTTCAACGGGGTCTGTCCACCAAACTGAACAATGACCCCAGACGGTTTTTCTTTGTGATAAATATTTAGAACATCTTCACAGGTTAACGGCTCAAAGTAGAGTCGATCAGATGTGTCATAATCGGTACTAACGGTCTCCGGATTGCTATTTACCATGATGGTCTCATAACCATCGGCTTTGAGTGCAAGGGCGGCATGGACACAACAGTAGTCGAATTCGATCCCCTGCCCAATACGGTTCGGACCGCTACCAAGAATCATGATTTTGGGTTTATCTGATGGGCGCACCTCATCTTCACTTGAAAAAGTAGAATAATAGTAAGGCGTTTCTGCTTCAAACTCCGCAGCACAAGTGTCAACAGTTTTGAAAGTTGCATCAACGCCGAGTCTCCTCCGACATTCGCGGATGGTTTCTTCGCGGACGTCGTAAATGTCCGCCAACTGCCGATCCGAAAACCCAAACTGTTTTGCTTGTTGCAGGAGTTTTTTCGTGAACTCTCCATCTGTTTCAGGATTTTGTAAATGTTGATTTATATATTGTCGGGTATCAGGTTCGGACAAAACGTTTTCAAAATCAACGATTTCCTTTATATTGTAGAGAAAAAATGGGTCGATGTGTGTGTAAGCGTGAATTTCGTCAATGCCCATCCCACGTGCAAGGGCAGCTTTAATATAAAAGACCCGTTCGACGTTCGGAATGATCAACTTACTTGGCAGTTCAGACAGTGGTAGTTCATCAAGTGGATGGTTATCTAAACCGTGCCATCCGGTCTCCAACGAGCGCAATCCTTTTTGTAACGCCTCTTTAAAGGTTCTCCCGATAGCCATCGCCTCGCCGACAGACTTCATCTGTGTTGTGAGTGTCTCATCGGTCCCTTGGAACTTTTCAAAAGCCCATCTCGGAATCTTGACGACGACGTAATCAATAGTCGGCTCAAAGCAAGCAGGTGTCTCAGCAGTAATGTCGTTGGGAATCTCATCTAAATTATAGCCGACAGCAAGCTTCGCTGCGATTTTCGCGATTGGAAATCCAGTGGCTTTCGACGCAAGTGCGGAACTCCGGGAAACACGGGGGTTCATCTCAATGACGACTTGTTCGCCAGTCTTTGGGTCAACAGCAAATTGGATATTGGAACCGCCTGTGTCCACACCAATCTCACGAATAATCTTAATCGCTGAATCCCGCATCAGTTGATATTCCTTATCTGTCAATGTTTGGATAGGTGCGACAGTAATACTATCGCCGGTGTGGACTCCCATAGCATCGACATTTTCGATGGAGCATATTATGACGACGTTGTCTGCACCATCTCGCATGACTTCTAACTCGAATTCCTTCCACCCGATGACAGACTCTTCAATGAGCAGTTCACGAATTGGACTCAGGGTAAGCCCCGACGCGACCATTTTTTCGTATTCTTCGATGTTGTAAGCGATACCGCCACCTGTACCACCAAGCGTAAATGCGGGGCGGATGATTGCGGGGAAGCCGATCTCTTGAACGATCGCGAGTGCATCTTGGACCGAGTGGGCAATACCACTCTGCGGAACTGCCAATCCGATTTTTGTCATCGCTTCTTTGAAGAGCGCGCGATCCTCCGCCTTTTGGATAGCAGGCAATTTCGCGCCAATGAGCTCAACCCCATATTTGTCTAACACACCAGATTCTGCGAGTTCAACAGACACGTTCAAAGCGGTTTGTCCACCGAGTGTCGGCAGTAATGCTTGCGGACGCTCCTTGGCAATTATAAGCTCCACAGTGTCCGCTGTAATTGGCTCAATGTACGTCTGATCGGCGAAATCCGGATCGGTCATGATGGTAGCAGGATTGCTATTGACAAGGGTAATTTCATACCCTTCCTCTTTGAGTGCCTTACACGCCTGCGTTCCGGAATAATCAAATTCACAAGCCTGTCCAATGATAATAGCACCGGATCCGATAATTAATATTTTTTTTATGTCTGTTCGTTTTGGCATCTTTTAATTATACCTTGCGGTTAAACAACGTGGATTCTATCTTTAGCGCGCTTTTCTCAAATCCGCCTGCGCCGTTGTTGCAGGCTACAGGTTCCGTATTTTGGCTACGTTACGTGCTAACGGTTTTGGTGTTATACCTTACAAAATTCTTATAGTAGTTGTGGCTCCACCAAAAAACCTGCTTGAAACGAAGTGGAAAGCAGAGCGGAAACTTAATCATTAAAAAATTCTGTAAAACGCGAGAAGAGATAACTTGCATCGTGCGGGCCCGGCGATGCTTCCGGATGATACTGCACAGAAAAAATGGGATACTCCCGATGCTGTATCCCTTCAAGTGTGTCATCGTTCAGATTGACATGTGTAACGTCAACACTATTCGGTAGTGAATCAATATCAACGCAGAACCCATGATTTTGTGCGGTAATTTCGACTCGATCAGTCTCAAGATGTTTGACGGGTTGGTTTGCACCTCGGTGTCCAAATTTCAGTTTAAATGTCTTCCCACCAAGCGCAAGTCCCAGTAGCTGATGTCCCAAACAGATGCCGAAAATCGGCTTTTTGCCCATCAGCGTTCGGATAGTCTGGATCGCATAGTCAATCGGCATTGGATCGCCTGGACCATTTGAGAGAAACACACCATCTGGTTCCGCGGCGAGAATCTCTTCAGCAGTTGTTCTCGCTGGCACGACTTGTACCTCACATCCGTGCTCAGTCAGTTGGCGCAAAATATTATATTTGATGCCGAAATCAAGGGCAATGACGCGATATTTCGGGTGGGAGTTGTTTTCCTCAGGTCGTTGCCACGCGTACGAATTCGGACACGTCACCCGCTGGACCAAGTCCCAACCTACCAAGCCGTGCCATGCTTTGGCTTTCGTAACAAGACTCTCAGGATTCAGATCTTCTGTAGAGAGACATCCATTCATCACGCCGTGGACACGGAGGCGGCGTGTGAGTGCGCGAGTATCAATACCTTGGATGCCAATAATATCGTGTTCAGCAAGGTAAGAACCCAGACTCCATTTTGAGCGCCAATTGCTATAGTAGGCACTATATTCACGAACGACAAACCCCTCTACCTGTGGACCGATAGACTCTACGTCTGCTTCGTTACAACCGTAATTGCCTATCAACGGGTATGTCATCGTCACGATCTGTCCTTTGTAGGAGGGGTCGGTCAAAATTTCCTGATAGCCCGTCATACTGGTATTAAAGACTACTTCGCCGACGGTTTCGCCGGTCGCGCCAAACTGCTCGCCTTCAAAGACTGTCCCGTCCGCTAATGCGAGAATCGCTTTCATATTTTCCTTCCCTCCCGGAGTGTAATAGCCTGCCACCCCTTAAGTTCCCAACCTCCGAAAGGAGTGTTTTGACTTTTTGAACGAGATTTTGTCACGTCAACCTGATTAACGAAGTCCGGGTTAATTGCTGTCACAGTCTCCGGCTGCACCAATAGAAAGTGTTCCACGATTGATACCGAGTATATTTGCTGGAATAGAGGTCATTTTCGCAATTGCCTCCGCTGCTGTAAGGTGCCCTGGTTCGACGAGAAACGTAAACACAAGTGGCACACAGGTCTCCAAACCGATAATTCCATTCGGTGCCTCAAGCATGCCTTGTGCCTTTTCTTGTGGGGCGTGCGGCGCGTGGTCAGTCGCGATTGCGTCAATTGTGCCATCGCGCAAACCCTCAATAACTGCGTCAATATCGGTCTGTGTACGCAATGGTGGATGCATCTTGGCATTCGTTCCTTGCTTTTCTATTTCCGCATCGGTGAGGATCCAGTGATGTGGACATGCCTCGGCAGTTACATGGACCCCTCGGTGTTTTCCTTGGCGTACCAACTCAACTGCCCCTGCGGTGCTGACATGGAGAACATGAAGGTGTCCGCCTGTCATCTCTGCTAACATGATGTCGCGTGCGACGATTATGTCCTCCGCGGCGTTTGGGCTTCCGATAAGTCCTAATTTTCGGGACGTTTCTCCCAGATTCATGACGGCTCCTGCGTTGAGGTTGTGCTCTTCACAGTGAACCATGATTGGAAAACCGAGTTCTGCGCTCAAGGCGAGTGCGTCGCGCATAAGGGCGGCGTTCATGACAGTAACGCCATCATCACTGAAGCCAACTGCGCCAGCAGAACGCATTCCCTGCATATCTGTGAGTTCATCGCCCGCGAGATTTTTGGTGATACTTCCGAAAGGGAATACGTTTGTCTCCGCGGTCTCTCGCGCGATGTCGTAAATCTGCTCAATCTTTTCGGGCGTGTCTATTACAGGAGACGTGTTTGCCATACAGGCAACCGATGTGAATCCACCTGCTGCTGCTGCCGCCGTGCCAGTAGCAATCGTCTCTTTATGCTCAAAGCCGGGTTCACGGAGATGGACATGCATATCGATTAATCCCGGTGTAACAATCAGCCCTGTTGCGTCATGGACATTGGCTGGCTGGGATTGCTGAACGGCACACGGAGTGTGCCTACTACTATTAACCGAAGCAATTTTGCCGTTGGCGATAGAAAGGTCGCCAACTTCATCAATGTTATTAGCAGGATCGATGATACGCCCGTTAGTGATAAACGCGTCACTCATTCCTCGTCCCTTTCATAAATCACCGCCGAATCTACTCCGCTCTCTTCGGCGAGCTGCACTCTGACGAACTCTTTTCGGGAAGTGGGTACATTTTTACCGACATAATCGGAGGCGATTGGCAATTCGCGGTGTCCCCTATCAATCAGAGTAGCCAATTGGATTGCAGCTGGGCGACCAAAATCCATGAGAGCGTCCATTGCAGCCCGGACGGTACGCCCAGTGTAGAGCACCTCATCTACTAAAATGACCCATTTCCCGGTAATGTCAAACGGAAGTTCAGTGCTGTTGACTTGGATTTGCGTCTCGTGGAGATTGATATCATCACGGTAGAGGGTGACATCAATCGCGCCCACATCGACTTCAATGTTTTCGATCCGCTCAAGGTTTTCGGCAATGCGATGCGCAAGGATATCACCTCGACTTTTAACGCCGACGAGTACGAGATCGTCGATATGTTTATGATTGTGCTCTAAAATCTCGTGAGCGATCCTGAGCAAGGCGCGGCGAATTTCTTCGGCATTCATTACTTGTGCTTTTTCACGCCCCGTGGAAACTGTTATTGGCATTTTTTATCCTGTTTATCTATCAACTCGTGCTTTAATGTCTTGTAACGGAGTCGAGTTGATGGGTAAAGTTTATCGCTTGCGTTCTGTGAATAAAGAAAAAGCCTCTCCCGTCTGATGTGACGAGAAAGGCATCATCCAACCGATTCCAATGGACAGTCTAAATTTTGGGTCCGATTCCAATTATGATCTGGCATCCTTTTTTCAACCTCTCTGGATTGGATTAAAAAGGTTTTAACACGAACGCTCCATCTATCTTTATATTATACCATATTTGTGTGCTAATTGCAAATTTTTTATTTCTCCTTCTGCCTACTTTATCTACGGGCGCATGAATATTTCAACTGTGATTCAGAGAGCAAGTGATTCATGTATCTGTCGTTTTGGACAACAATGCCGAGCAAGATGCCTCATTTGTTGCGTACAAGGCTATTCCTGCACGGCACTAATTTCATCTTCCGAAATCTTGTGGACGCTTTTTGGGTTAAACGTCTGCGTTGTGTCTACGCGGAGTGCTACTTCAATCCTGCCCCCTGTCAGTACAAAGAACTGGATCAGGAAACCACCCCCCTGCATCGATTCAACCTGATACTCTTCCTCGTCGAGTCCTCCAAGCCATTCTGGTAACGCTTCTTCAAAGTTAGGGTGTGCGATGACCTGATCCGGCAATGCAACAATCAGCGTACCGGGAGCGTCACCGATTGTGTCGCCGATGACCTCTCGTCTTTCTACCATAAACGGGACAACGCGGCTGGCATATTCAAAATCATCGGTGAGGGTGCGTTCTGGGGGTACAAGTCCCCATGTTAGGTGATGGATAAACGGATTCCCGTATCCCTGCCCGAGCATGTGTTGCAGTGCTGTTCTGTCAACGGGATGCACGACAGCAACGTAGTCGAACCATCCGTCATCGCGCGCCGGACTATCTATCGGCAATTGGGCAGAGACATTGATATAATCGCAACCGTCAACAGGTGATGGATAACACCGCGCATCCCATCCGTTGACATAGCCGAGCTGTTTCAAACCATCAGCAACGAGGTGAGGCGGATCACAGAAAATAGCGGCGTGATCCATGTTGGCGTAGATTTCAACGCCTGCCCCTATAACACGCTCTGCGACTTCAGTCGCCTCTGCAAAACGGAGATCGGCGTTTTCAATTGTCAAGTAATCAGCGAAATTTGTTGGTAACGTAATTAAGTTTTCCATTTTTTTAAGTTATTAAATCTGGTCACCATTCTGTACGGGCTGGGTTACCCAGCCCCTACGCGTTTCACGGTGGTTTTCGGTTAAATCAATGCCGCATCGGGCAGTGGACGTTATAATTTCTCACAATAATTATAAGTCTAACAGAAACAGTGCCGATGATCAAGCACTTTTCGGTGAAGTTTGCCAGTCAAAAGTTGCTGTGAAAAGTTGGTGAAGTTTACAAGCCGAAAGTTGTTGAAAAAAGTGCAGATCTCTGCTAATGTTAACACGGGCTTTTAACCAGCCTTAGACTCAAAAACAGAGGAGAAATTCATGAGAACAAATACCTTTCGAGAACTACTCAACGCAGACAAACCTACAGTCGGCACACATATCCATACCACTTGGCCCTCTATCGTTGAGGCGATTGGGCATACAGGAATGTATGACTACGTCGAATTTGTAGCGGAATATGGTCCGTTTGATCTGCACGATTTGGATAACCTGTGTCGGGCGGCTGAACTGCACAACCTCTCCACAATGATTAAGGTCGACCAGGAGCCACGGGGTTTCATCGCACAACGTGCGATCGGTTCAGGTTTCCAAAGTGTGCTTTATGCAGACTGCCAAAATGTTGAAGACGTGAAGGAATGTGTGCGTATTACGCGTGCAGATACCCCCGAAGATGGCGGTAGTTACGGCGTAGCAACTCGTCGGTTTTCCTATATGGGTTATGGGGGAAGTCCAGAATACGTCCAAGCCCTCCGCGATGTTGTCGTCGTCATCATGATAGAGAAAAAAGGGACTGTTGACAACATTGAAGAGGTGCTATCTGTTGAAGGCGTTGATATGATTCAGTGGGGTGGTTCGGATTATTCGATGAGTATCGGGAAAGTCGGTCAGCGCGGGGCTCCCGAAATCAGTGAAGCACACGATAAAGTGTTCAAGACCGCAATAAAGATGGGGGTGCCGCCACGCGCTGAAATCGGAAGTGCTGATGATGCGAAACGCTATCTTGATATGGGGGTCCGGCATTTCTGTATCGGCACCGATATTTCCATTCTCTACAGTTGGTGGCGGGAACACGGCGATGGGTTACGGAAAGTGATTGAAGGGCATTAGGCAGAGAAATCAGACATACAGGCGCGCTTAAAAAACGAGGTGTTTATGTTAGGGTGTTTCCCCAAGAAACCTCGTCAGTGGCGCGCCTACAGCTATAGCAAGTCTATGAAAGCATCGATTCCATCCGTGCAGCGACCCAGTCACGGCAACATCAATCATCGCTTGTCCTTTTTCGACTGTCGCCAATTTCGCTTGATGATGGTATTCTCGGTCGGATTTTGCCTGCCCTGCATCTGAGATGGTGAGTTTCGCGCTGTCGTAATCCACACCGTTCCAGTCAACGTTTTCTGCAAAAGCAGCGAAGGCAAATGCTGTCTCGAATTCCGCCGCGTGTCCAGGACAGACCCCAGATTCCATCTGCTCCTTGACCAGTTCTTCATTGTACGCTTCCCAATAGGAGTGAAATTCGATGTTGATGCCGAGCTTATCTCGGTAGCCATCTAACCGCTGATGCACTGGACCGGCATTTCCAGCATGCCCATTGACAATCAGGATGTTGTCAATGCCGTGCCGGCGCATACTATCAGCGACGTCATAAAGCACTTCACCAAAAACATCCGGACGAAGCGTGAGCGTGCCTTTGTGATCCATCCAATGTTCCGACACGCCGATCGCTAAAGGGGTTGTGACGATAACCTGCGGGAATAACTTCTCAGCCGCCAATTTGGAGACATGCACCGCGCTTTGCGTATCGTGATACATCGCCAAATGTTCGTTGTGTTGCTCTGTACTACCCGTCGGAATAATTGCTCCCTTGAGTGTGCCAGCATCAATCGCCTCGCGGATATACCGTCGTTGATTTTCCCAAAGTAGTACGGATTTGATTTGAGACATTGTCTAACCTCCATTATTTCGGTAGGACACCATACTTATCGAGTGTGCCTTGAATAGCCGCAATTCCATCTTCCATCAATTCCCGATTCGGTGGTAAGTAGTCTTGCAGGCTCTCCCAGTCATATTCGTTCTGTTGCGTGTCCTTATTTTTAAACAGAATTTTAGTGCTGTAATCTCGAATTTCATTGAGCGTCCATTCATAGATATAGAAACCGAAAATGTCTACATGTAGGGTAACGCCGTTCCGTTTTCTCTCAACATAACCGTCCAAGACCACATCGAACCGTTCCCCAGTAAAAGCGACAAGATCTTTCTCAGCGGGTCCTAAAGAAATACCATCCCAATCAATCAGATGCAGTTGGTTTTCAGCATCCAAAATAAGATTGCCCGGGGTTGGGTCGCCGTGTGTAATCACAAAAGAGGTTTGTGCTGCCACCGCTGAGCGCCCTAATTCATCGTATCTATCCATTGTTTCTAAAATCGAAGATCGGTGGGCGGCGAGTGTTTCAAGCAACCGCCTCTGATACGGATTCTGAGAAGGCACCTTTTTCGCCGAAGCCTCAAGTGCCATGTAGAGTTCATTCCGTAGCGGGCAAATCATATTTTGCCGTGGCGAGGTGACTTGTGTCAATCTCATTCGTGCAAAGATGGATTGTCGCTAACAGCGCAGCCGTCTGATCGAGTTCCGCATCGGTGAAGTCTTTTCCGACTTTCCACAGGTCCCAGCGACTTCTACCTTCAATAAAAGGGAACAGTGAGACGCGAAAATCGTGCCATGGGATACTCAGCGTACCATCTGATGTTTCCAATGGAGCAACAACGCCAGATATGTCACATCGGTACCGAAGGAGCGACACATATTGCAAGCAAATATCCGGCACAGAAGTAGACGCTTTGGCAAAATACTTTTCGCCAGTCTCGGACGTGGCGATGTACCCATAACTATCCTCGCCTTCGGGCAAAAACGTTATGGACTGCAATGGCAGTGCGTAAGCAGTCTTGAGGTGTTGCAGTAATTCCGTTTTATCAAAAGCGTTGTCAACTTTCATGAGTGAGATATGCTTAATTTGTTGAGGGTGCCTCGACTTTCTGAAGAACCACCTTGCTCTGGTTCTTCAACTCTAAAGTTTTAGAGATGTTTCCCATGTTAATCGCAATCTTGAACTGCTTGGTAGACGTCGAAAACCGTCCCAAGTATTCCCCTTCAGGAACATCTCCATAGTTTTCAACGAATTTGATCTGAATTTTCTGACCTGTTGCAAATGTCGCCTCAAGTGTATCCCCAAGTTTCCAACCGCGTTCAGTAAATGGAGCGATGTAGAGATCGGTGCCAGCATTGCCATGGTCGTCGATTTCAACAATCGTCCCAGTGAGCGATGTCGCTTGAGTGGTCTCCGGCGCATTCGCTTTTTGATTGCATCCAATTAGCAGTGTTATTGTCATGAAAACGGCTATGCACACCAACTTCCAATAGTACGAACAGGATTGATAGTAGAATTTCACCATGATACATACCTCCATGCGTCTTTTAAAAACTGTCTTAAGTATAGTGGAAAGGCAGGTAAATGTCAAGAGAAAGAAAAAGAGGGTTTCGCGGGAATTTCATTTGACGTATGAGCGAATCTATGCTACTCTCTTTTTGGCACGGTTTCTCGCAAAACATGCGATAATAAAGTAATATTAATTGCAATCGGAGGATTGCTTGTACAGCAAAGTCGCCTCAATTTAAAATTGAGGGGTTGGAGATGAATATGTCGAAAAAACTGAATTTTTATAGCAAGTTTTCAAAATCTGTAAATGCCGCTAAAATTGTGCTTCTGTTATTCGGAATTCTGTTGAGCCTTTCGGGCTGTGAAAAGATAACACCGCCGATGTTACCGGAGGTCAGTACCCCAGATACAGAACCGCTCACCGTGATGACGTATAATGTTTACGTTGGGAGCAGTGCGGATGCGCTTCTGTCTGTAGAGAATCTGTTACAAGTTCCGACAGAAGTTGCGAACATGTACAACAACGTCATAGCATCTGACTTTCCCGGACGCGCTGTGGCCATTGCCAAGTCCATAAAAGCATCTCAACCACACCTCATCGGTTTGCAAGAGATTTCGCTAATCCGTCGACAAAGCCCAGGCGATCGGATTGCCGGAGGACTCGTTCCTGCTGAAGAGGTGATCATAGATTTCCTCGAAATCCTGATGGGCGCGCTTCAAGCAGAAGGCTTAGATTATCAAGTCACTGCCCAAGTCGAAAATTTAGATGTCGAAATGCCGATGTTCACTGATACCGGTATTGTTGATATTCGCTTAACGGATTTTGATGTGATATTGTCTCGCGGCGATGTTGCAGTATCACGCTCTATGAGCGCAAACTATGCAAATGCCCTTACAATCGAAATGCTTGGGCTTGAAGTGAAAAGAGGATATGCTGCCGTAGATGCCACTGTTTCTGGTGTCACTTACCGCTTTGTCAATACACACTTAGAGTCATTCGCGGAGGAAAACCGGGTTGCCCAAACACAGGAACTTGTGGATAACCTTCAAGGCGAAATCTTGCCGATTATCCTGTTAGGGGATTTCAATACGAGGGCACCCAACGGCACCGCCTATCAACTTTTACTATCAGCAGGGTATGTTGACCTTTGGCAGATGGATTCCGAGGGAACTGGTAATACTTGTTGCCAAGACGATGACATCCTGAATGAGGTGAGTGATCACTCTGTACGGATCGATCAGATTTTTGCCCGAAATCTTGAATTCTCCACGCAGATTCTGACTCACACCATAGGAGATACCTCCTTAGAACGGCTACCCTCCGGGTTGTGGCCCTCTGACCACGCAGGGGTCGTCGCACATCTCGCATTTGAGTAGCGAAAATCAGTTTAATTCTTAAAAAAGTAAAGCGCGCTGCATTCGGATCTGAAAATCCGTCACAGCGCGCTTTTCATTTAATCGGATACATCCCTACTCGAAAATTTCAAGTTTGCCATCTTTAACAATCAGAACAACAGGGTCATAAATCGCATCTCCGTTGGGATCAAAAGAAAACTTACCCAAAATGGTGTCAAAGTCTTTGATCTCAGCGAGCGCAGCAGCAATCGCTTTTGAATCCGTTGATTGTGCATTTTTGATCGCTTCCGCGAGGATATAAACAGCGGCATACGGCTGTGCAGCCCAAACGCTGGGTTCCATGCCGTATCTCTCGGTGTAATTCTGAACGAAAATCTGATTTCCGGGGGTGTCAGCCGTGCTAACCCAACTTGTGATACCACCCAACGCCTAAAGGCGTGGGCTTCGGTTTCGTAGCGACTGCGGTTTTCTCAGAGAGTCCACCGTCTGACTGTCGCTCCACCCGCAGGCTATTATTCCGTCTCCGCCGCACTCACGAAGTTGCGATCCAACGGCTTTATCGCGCATTGTTGCGCGGGTACCCCAGCCTGCAAAATGTTTATAGCAGCGTTGAGGTCCCTGTCGTGGTGTGAACCACATTCAGGGCATATCCACTGCCTATCTTGTAGTGTTAGATTTTCGTTGTGATGTCCACAAGCCGAACACGGTTTTGTCGTGGCTTCCCAACGTCCCGCTTTCAAGAATGTTTTACCATGTTTAGCAAAAGTCCATTGGAGTATCAAAGCAAATTCACCGAAGGCAATATCAGAGATTTTGCGTCCCCAGAGGCGTTTCATACCCTCAAGGTTCAGGGTCTCTATCGCAAGTGTATCGTATTTACGCACAAGCCGAAGTGCCAATTTGAAGAACCAATCGCGTCTCTTATTGGCGATTTTCTTATGAACACGGGCGAGATGCCACTTTGCACGATACCATGCATTTGAACCCTTTTGCTTGCGGGAGAGTGCCTTGTTTGCGGAACGGATCGCGTTGAGACCTTGCTTATAGAATTCGGGGGACGTTATTCTCGTGTCATCTGAAAGTGTCAGGAATGTTTTACAACCGAAGTCCGCCCCTGCCACATTACCGGTCAAAGGGAGTTTCTCGGAAGGTTCACAATCCTCACAGGTGATGTAGAGGGAGTAGTCGCCTACGGTGTCACGCTTGATTGTGACGGTTTTGATACGCCCAGTCCAGTCTCGGTGTTTCCAAAAGGTGAAGGACTTACCGAGACAGTTGATTCTCAACCGATTGCCTTCTATTTTCAAGCCTGCTTGTGTGAACGTCAAGGAGTTATATTTATGATTCGGCTTGATTTTCGGTCTACCGACTTTACGTTTTGTTTTACCTGCTTTTCGGTCCTTAATGTTCTCAAAGAACTTTTCGTATCCCAAGTGAATACGCTTTGCGACTTGTTGGATGACCTGACTCGGCAGTTGATTCCAATGCGGTTTCGTCTGCTGTTTCAACTTCGTGATATGACCGCATATGCGGGAAAAAGACGCATATTTACCATAGATACGATAATAGCGTCTCTGCAACATCAAAAGGTGAACTTGCACACCATGCAAATCGTCAATCAAATTGCCGAGCTGTATCAAGTTAGATTGATGGTAGAACTCGTATTTTTCTGTTTTCATGGACTTTCACGTATCACGCCTTTAACCCCTGCAAAGTGGGTAGGCAGACACATTGTCAAGCGACAATGCTTTGCATGTCTGCCAACGTGATATTTTAATTATACCACAATTCGGACGGAATGTCAAATATATTAAGTCCGTTTTGGCCCTTTCCAATAGGGAAACCTATTTTCATCCCAAAACTAAAGCGTTGGGCTTTCAATCCGTCAATTCCCGTAAGGTTGCGTCTGTCCGTTAAGAATTTGGAACACACCAACACTTTTGTCAGGATGGCGGTTCTCATCAAAACGAGAGATACTTGTCGCACCCTTGTAGTCCGTGATTGCAGCGATTGCACCTCGAATTGCAATTGGATCGGTCGATCCCGCCGCCTCAACTGCAATCGCCAAGATTTTCATGGCATCGTAGCCCGATGCAGCAATCCCATTGGCAGGATTTTCAAACATCGCTTCGTACGCGGAAATAAATTCTGTGACCTCTGGATCAAAATTGGTACAATAGTAAGAATTTTCAAGATGGGGAATTGCATCTATATTGTCAAACATCAACGCATCATCCCAACCATCGCTGCCAATAAAGGTGGACTCAATGCCCATCTCCCTCGCCTGCTTCATTATGAGGGGGTTTTCTGGTGGGAAACTTGCGAGAAAGAGGACATCTGGACTAGCCTCTTTGATGGCTGAAAGTTGTGCATCAAACATCGTATCGCCTTTTTCATAGACTTCCGTGGCAACGATGCTACCACCGAGTTCCTGGAAATTGGCATCAAATGCTTCAACGAAGCCGATAGAATAGACATCCTCGTTCTGCCAAATCATTGCGGCGGTTTCCGCGCCGAGCTCATTCACGGCGAATTGTGCCATGAGTTTTGCCTGTAACGCATTGGAACTCGCCACGAGAAAGAGAAAATCGCCAGTTTCGGTCACATTTGCGCCTGTTGCACCCAGAAGAATCGGGACAGTAGCAACGGGTCCAACCTTCACGGCATGGCTTGAAAACAGCGGACCCAAAATAGCGATAACACCCTCTTCTTCAATCAATTCCGTTGCAGATTGAACAACGTCTTCCGTGAGTTCTTCTCTATAGATAAACTCGACCGGCGTGCCGAGAACACCACCGGCTTGGTTGATTTCAGCCAGAGCGAGTTCAGCTCCTTCACCAAAACTGAAGTAAAGTGGATAAGGACGAATCACACCCACCTTCAACGTGGCATAGTGTCGGTATCAGACGGAGCGACCATCTCATCAGTCATCCCGATATCGCGCATCCGTTCACATCCAGATAACACCGCAACTGAGAGTGAAAGGAATACGCATAGCATCAACTCAAAAACTTTCATGTTCATAAATATCTCCTTAATATATGAGTAAGTAAGCAATATTAAATATAAGCTTTACAGTTTTGAGGCAGATTTGAAGACGAGAAAATATGGAATAAACCCTCTGTTTAGTTGCTTTCACGCTTCCTATCTGCCAATCCTTATGGAGATCGGAACCGAAGTTTTAATACCGAAAATTGCTTACCTGTAGTGTGTTGTAACAACAGTACAAACTACTTCACAAACGTTTTTAGGATTGAGATACGTGGACCTCGTTCAACAATAAATTCAATATTATATGATAACACAAATCCTTTTTTTCGGTCATTTTTTTTCAGTAATTCAAGGCAGGAAAACTTAGTAATGGTAAGGGTTTAATGGATAATCATATAGATGTATTATAATTGAATAATTGGAATATATATTGAATCGCTTCATTACGACTTATAGCGAATTTAATATAAAATTATCCCATAAATATTTAACGTACATACATAGATATGAAAACATAAAAAATAATAGGCACACGGTGCGCCATAGCGAAAATGCCAGACAAACACCATGTGCCGTAACTTAATCAAAAAATCCCCTGCACAATATAATAAAGTAAATAATTAACAATATCCCGTCCCTAAGTGAAGTTTTGAACCACACCAGAAACAGGATATATTTGATAACACACTATAGAACGATATAAGATAAGACAGGTTTCAGCGTAAAATCATTCCCGCGCCTCAGGCGTAACCGTCAGTTTTACCTGTTTTCCATCTCGTAAAACAACAACTTCGACCGGTTCTCCAATTTTCACAGCATCAAGGGCATAGGTGTAGTCGTAGATGTTAGCGATCTGCTGCCCTCCAAATTCCACAATAACATCGCCACCCTTCAAACCGGCTTTATCAGCGGGACCACCGGCGCGAACACCAGAGAGTTTAACACCAGTGCCTTCCGTTGTATAGTCAGGAATCGTGCCAAGATAGGCACGCAGCGTATCGCGACTCCCACCTTCTGACTGGCTCCGTTCGACCTGGAGATATTCCGGACGTTCAAGGATACTAATGACATCTAAAACAATGCCGTGCGCTAATTTAGAGATCCGTTCAAGCCCGTCATAATTGAGTGTTTCTATATCATCCGTTGGACGATTATAGTCTTCGTGTCCGCCTGTGAAGAAGCTGAGCACCGGCACCTCTTTCGGATAGAAGGCAGTCACGTCTGTTGGCAGATACGGATCGGTCTGTAATGTTAGATTGAAACCGATGGGGACATTCCGCTTTTCAATGAGTTTCGTCCACACAGATGACGAGCCGACACCTTGCAAGATGAGTTTGTTGTCACGGAGTCGTCCCACCATATCGAAATTGACGTACGCCACTACTTTCTCTAAAGGGATAACGGGATGGTTGACAAAGTGGGTGGACCCGATGAGTCCAAGTTCCTCTCCCGACCAGAGTGCGAAGATAACGCCTCTGTTAAATTTTTCGGGATATTCTTGGGACGCTTCGCTGAGTGTCGCCGCCAATTCTAAAACGACAGCGGTGCCGGAGGCATTATCATCTGCGCCATTATGAATCTGTCCCTCCTCATCCTTCCGCGCCAATGAACCGATTTCACCGTAGCCGATATGATCGTAGTGTGCACCGATAATGATGTACTCGGTGTCATCTGTTAATTGCGGTGATGGGAGAAGCGCGATGACATTCTGATCGGTTTTCTTAACTTTCTCAACCGAAACGACGATTTTAATCTTGACATCGGGTAACGGAAATTGTCCAAGGAAATGTGGATTCTCTACATCAAGTCCGGACTGAACCTCTTTCAGGTCCTTGCCGGATGGGGCAAAGAGTGCATTCGCGACGGTATCACTTATTGACGCAGTGACAATGCCCGAATCTGCGAGGCTACTGTCGAAGTCAAGCGGAATCAACTTGCCTGCATTTGGCGAGTTTGGTCCGGCGACAACAAGAAACGCCTTTGCCCCATGCTCCCGTGCTTGCATCGCCTTGTATCGGAGCCCCGCATACCGATTCAGTTGCTGGCGGCGTTCGGGTGCTACCTCTTCGGGAACATAGCGAAGTGCGACGACTATTTTGTCCTTCACATCTAACCCCGCATAAGCGTCATAACCTTCACCTAACTCACCGGGGACTGATAACCCATACCCAACAAAGACGACTTCACCTTCAACGACCCCGTTACGAGAGAAAGAGAGCGGCTGAAAATCTTGTTCCACGCTGTACGCTAACTCCTGTTCAGCACCATGCATCTGACGTGTGATGTGGAACCGGTTTTCTTCAGATATGATCCGTCTACCCGCAGTGAACTCAAAGGTTTGGAAGTAACTCGTTTCATCACCGATAGGTTTGAGATTAAGTTCTTCAAATTGGGTGGCGATATGCTCCGCTGCGCGTTTCGCGCCTTCTGAACCGGTCATCCTACCTTCAAGCGCATCGTCAGCAAGAAATTCAATATGTTGACGGATATTCGTTTTTTTAAAGGATTCGGAGTCGGAAACCGTTTGGACCGGATGCCTGGGTGAGTTGTGGCTCCTTGGTGCCGATGTAACTGCCTTCAGTGCGACTTCGTGATTCCAGTCGGCGAGGTAAAGTTGCGAAACCTCTTGGCTGTTCCGAGTCGAGGTCCAGCACAGACGGCTGCCATCCGGTGAAAAGACAGGTAGTCCGTCAAACCCATCGGTTGTGGTAACACGAACTGGCTCATGTCTACCTCTCCCATCAACGAGATATAGCTCAAAATTAGAGAATCCAAGCTTATTGGAAGCAAAGATAACATAAGCACCACTCGGATGGAAAGTAGGGTGCCCAAGACATACTATCGAAATCGGTGAGTCGCCGCACACTTGAACCATCTATCCGCATTGTGTAGATGTCGGCTTCGCTGCCGTCAGGTGTGAAGTGTCGCCAAACGATATACTGCCCATCGGGTGTAAAGAAAGGACCACCATCGTAGCCCGGAGAATCCGTTAATTGAATTTGATCGGATCCGTCGGCGTTCATGATATAAATTTCGCCGAAATAGGCGGGATCGACTTCCAGCTGCTTCAGGTCCTTTGGGGAGAGTTGACTTTTGGGATATGCGTTCCGGAGCGAACAGAAAACGATACGTTTGCCATCAGGCGAATATGAGGCTTCAGCATCATAGCCGGGCGCGTTTGTCAGTTGTTTGAGGTTACTACCATCTCGGTTTGACGAGAAGATGTCCATCTTTTCATCGTAATCCCAACTGTAGCGTCTTTCTTTTCCCGATGCCCGGAATTTCAGCTCCTCTTCCTGTTTTGCTTTCGCAAAAGCATCGTGATGGGTCGAAGCGTAAAGCACTTCATCGGTCCCTGGACGGAAGAAAGCACAAGTTGTCTTCCCCATACCGGGTGAGACACGGTGCGTATCGCCTGTCAGTAGGTCTAAAAGATAGATTTGATAGAACGGATTATCCGCTTCGCGCTCACTTTGGAAGATGAGCGCATTGCCGTCTTCGGAGAAATACCCCTCACCAGCACGCTTTCCGTCATAAGTGAGCTGTCGGATACTGCTGAGAAATTGGGACTCGTCAGCAGAACTTGCGTCTGTTCCATCTGGTGGCGCGTGCTGTGCCCGCACCTCGTCTGTTAGGAAAACAGCAAAGAATACCGCGCAGGAAAAAACGAGCCATTTGATGCAGTGCATCTCAATCCCTCCCATTATGATATGAACCTCTAATAAACGTGCGATAATGCACTTCGCATTTGGGCGAGTACGCCGCAAAATCGCACGGCTACAAATGGGTTGATGCTATAGGTATTGTGCTGCTTTCTGTTTGAGGAACGCGAGTCCATCTATCGCGAGGCTCTCGGCACTCGGTGCGATGTCGCGCCAGATGCAGGTCGCAGCGGCGATTTCCTTGACTGCCGGTGTAAATGATTCAATCACGAGCCATCTGTCGTAGTTAACCTTAGCGAGCGCGCCGAATACACCGTCCCAATCTACAAGTCCCGTACCTGGAGTCCCGCGATCGTTTTCACAGCAGTGAATGTGATGTAAGAAATCACCAGTCGCGATGATAGCATCCGCTTGATTTTTTTCCTCAATGTTCATGTGGAATGTATCCAGATGCACCTTGAAGTACGGACTATCTACTGCTTCACAAAGTTTAACAGCATCTGCAGCGATGTTGACGAAATAGGTTTCAAACCGGTTGAGCGGTTCACTGGCGAGCGTAACACCGTGTTTTCCGCCGAATTCACAAACATCTTGCAAACCTTCAACGCACCAATCCCACTCCTGCTGGTTTCTGCCTCTGCCGACGAGTTTACCCACTGCACTATACATGGGGCCAACGAGCGTATCGGCACCCAACTCGGCAACAATTTCGATTGTGCGCTTGAGATAGGTTCTTCCATTTTCTCGAATCGCCGGATCTTCATCGATTGGATTCCTGTCCCCTGCCATAATATTACACCCGATGGTTTCTAAGCCGGTATCCTTCAGTAATGCTTGGGTATAAGGGATATCCACTGTATCTGGATCAAAGATGGGGATTTCAACACCATCAAAGCCCATTTCAGCAACTTTAGGAATCAGGTCTGCAGTTTCTCTATCAAACTTATCTGCCCAGAGTAATAAATTTACACCAAATTTTGGCATTCTGTATTGTTCTCCTTAATAACTTAATAACACGTCCTTATATGTGTACTATTTTTTGCAGTTTAGCACAAATTGGAAAGCATTTCAACTTTTTAATACTATCCACAAGGCTTATTTAGTTTGTGGTGACCCATTTTAAGACAGCACATCTATCGGGAACCACCTGATTTAAACAGATATTTGGGTGCCAACACCGTTAGCGACACACCGCGGGCAACCAGAAGCAGCGTTAGCGCGCCCCATAGCCCATGATTCCCAAAAGGCATCAACAGATAAACTGCGCTTAAATAGAGCAGTGTTGACACAATTGCAGAATTCCGCAACGCCTTAGAAGCAGTTGCCCCCAGATAAATTCCATCCCAAATGTAAGCAGCAACATTCACGACAGGAGCAACGATTATCCAAAGAAGATAAGGTTTCGCCTGTTCCACAAGTGGCATCTGATTTGTGAAGAGATAGAGCATCCGCTCTCCAAAGACTATGAAAATTAACATAATCACACCTGCGAATAGAAACGCCCAGAGGAAGATTAGACGCGTCGTCCCTTTAAGATTTTGCAGGTCATGTGCGCCTTTGTACCTGCCGATCAAGCTTTCTGCGGCGAACGCAAGACCATCAATCGCAAACGACAGAATATAGATAAACTGAAGCAAGATCGTGTTAATCGCGAGGAGTGTATCGCCCAAAGCAGCGGATTTCGCTGTGAAAAAAGCATGACTAAACACAAGGCAACAGGTCCTGATGAAGATGTCACCACTGATACTGAGAAACTGCTTTAACTTGGACAGCAACAGAACCTCCGTGATATTCCATCCCGTTAAAATACTTCGATAGCGCCTGAAAAAGAGCAGAATTGCCAAGAACAATCCGACATACTGGGCAATGACAGTTGCTAAAGCGACACCCTCTACCGTCATACCGAGTAGCCGTACAAATACCAGATTTAAGACGATATTGACGAGGTTCACCACAATCGTCAATAGCATTGGGTAATGTGCATTCTGTAAACCTAAAAAGACACCGTGTAGGGCGTGTAAGCACAATGTCGCGGGGGCAGCATAGATGCGAATGTGGTAATAGGCACGAGCGAGATGCTCTACTTCAGGACTGGTATCAATGAGTAGAAAACTAATATCGGCAAGCTGCCACTGGAAGATAAAGAGGAATAGGCTGCTCGTGATGCCGACGCCTATTGCTCTCAAAAGCAAGCGTCCACATTCTGGTGTATCGTTTTCCCCGAAGGCTTGCGCTGTCAATCCTGTCGTTGCCATTCGGAGAAACCCAAATCCCCAATAGATAAAACTGAAGATAACACCACCGATGCCCACCGCACCGAGGTAATGCTCGGATTCTAACCGCCCCATTAAAGCAGTATCCACCGCGCCTAAAAGAGGGACGGAAAGATTGCTAATGATATTGGGGAGTGCAAGTCGATAGATCTGCTTATTGATTTCTTGAGGGTTATGCATAGAGATTTCCGTTCTATTTCTGTCCTATAACTTACCATGAACTAAGACGAAAAGCAAACGACATTATGTATGTGTGAGATTTCGACATGAGTGTTCGCGCTTTGTGTTCTTTACAGACCTATATAGGCATTCTAAAAAGCAAAGAAAAATAATGCACAATGCAACAAAGTAACATATTCTGTCCTACAGGCGGCAGGATTTGTGTGTACCCTATATTTTTCTTTGTAATTTCACGAGAAATTGAGTATACTATTTAACAATGAAAGACTGGTGTTATGAGTTTACTGCTAAATCAATCGGATTCTGTGTGTCTCGACTGCCGCGTTCAGTGACATTGGCTATGGGCGGATGGTTGGGTGCCCTTGTATTCTGGCTGGCACCACAGCAACGGGAGTTGGCATGTGAACACTTACGGTGCAGTTTGGCACTCTCAGATGAACGCCAAGTCAAAGTAGTGGCAAAACAGTGCTTTGAAAACTTAGGCAAGACTGTGGTAGAGTTCATGCAGTTCCCGCGCTTGGATAGAAGACAGATTCAACGATATGTCACTTTTGAAGGAATCGAGCATGTGCAGCAAGCCCTTGCCCATGGGAAAGGGGCAATCATTCTAACGGGGCATTTTGGGAATTGGGAACTTCTTGCTGCCAGCATTTCTGCTACAATCGCTCCGCTCACACCCATTGTTCGTGAATTGCGTTCCCCCCGTTTAAACGCCTTAGTCTCCAGTTACCGGGAGAAAGCGGGGTATGCGACTATCGACAGAGATACAGGCGTGCGTCCCGCTCTTCGATGTCTCAAACGTAATGAACTGCTCGGTATTGTCGCCGACGTAGACACAGCCGTGAGCGGCGTTTTTGTCGATTTTTTCGGTAGGCATGCCTATACACCATATAGTCCAGTTGCTATTGCGCTCAAAACAGGTGCGTCGATACTGCCAACGTTCATTATCCGTCAACCCGACGGTTCACATCACGCAATTATCGAACCACCCTTAGCGTTGAAACGGACACATGCGAAAGAGAAAGATATTGTTGTTAACACGCAGACGTTCACAAAAATTATTGAATCATATATCCGACGATATCCCACGCAGTGGATTTGGATGCATCGCCGGTGGAATACACAACCATAGTAGAATCGTCACACCGTTGTATCTCTGTCTGTTACTCTGCGTAATTTGTTGTAAAAATACAGAGACACCCATCGGTGCAACTGATGAACCAGCAGAAACGGTCCCGACACAGAAAGTGGATGGGTTTTCTACACAACACACCGAAGCAGGCATTGTCAAATGGACGCTTGTCGGAGATACCTCAACGTTTCACGGAAGCTACATTGAAGTGCAAAATCCGACTGTTCAGATTTTTGAGGATGGTGTTGTTTCTATCACCTTGAACAGCCAAAAGGGTAAGCAGTTTCTCACGGGAAGCGAGAAAGACAACCTCCATCTCTCAGGGGAGGTCGTCGGTGTCAGCGAAAATGGCATTTTATATAGCGAGATCCTCCATTGGCAAAACCGGGTGAACAGGCTGTATGCTCCCGACGAAGTTACACTCGTACGTGGAGATTCCACATGGGTCGGAACAGAAATGTACGCACATCCGACGCTCAAAACCGTGAAAATGAAAAACAACCAATTTAAACTTCACTCAAAAGATGAGAAAACGCATGAATACCATCAAACCCCAATCGAACCAGAGTAGGCACAAACACAGATTTCAGTTTCGCAAATTTTACAATTTTTGTGTGTACACCAGTTTTCTAACGCTTCTTGTCTGTCTTGTCTCGCTAACTCTCGGTGCAGAGGACACAGAAACAGAAGAACTTCCTTCATCCACCGACACTGTGGAAATTCAAACGACAGAGAACACCGTAGAAAAGAATGGGACTGCTGAAAATACGAATACCACAACAGAACCGACGAAAGAAATAATCACCGGCACCTCGAAAAGAATGGAGAGTTATGAACAGGAAGGCCTAACGATTCTTATTGACGAAGCCAAGACAGTCCGACGTAACGAGCAAGGAATTGAAATCGGGTTTCTCAATGCAGATAAAATCACCCTCAAACGCGATATAGAAAGTGGGGTCACAACAGAAATTGTCGCTGAGGGTAATGTAGAAATCCGAGATCAAGATATCTTTGCTACCTGTGACCATGCTATCATGGACAACCTGACAAGTACTATTATTCTTACAGACAACGTCGTCGTCTTACAAAACAAGGATCGGCTCGAAACCAAGTTCTTCACTTTCAATCGGGTGACCGGAAAACAGACTGCTGAGGGTGATGTAAAATTTAAGGTTACCGTTACACAAGCACCACCGGTAGATTCAGAGGCAGATGAGAACACGGAAAACGGCACAGACACTGGCGAAGAACAAACTTCTTCAACCGCCCCTCAGGAGACAGAAGGTCAGCCCGAAGAAGACACAGACACTGTAGACTGATAATACTGAGGGTGACGCAGAAGATAAATCTGAGGCAGACGCTGGAGACTCTGAAGATGCGGATCCGGAAGAAGAAACTGATACAGACACCGGAAAACCCCGATGAAGCGGATCCAAACACTGAAACGGAAGAATCAGAGAGCAATTAAGGCAATTGTGTAATCCGAGGGCTTCCGGCTTCTCGAAAACTTTTTTGTCAACGCCTCACGCGATGGCTGCGTTACGTAATCTTACAATGTTAAAAGTCTCGTTAGTTTTCTTCTGATGAGACGGAAAATGCAACCACCTTCGAGTGGCAGACTATAATAAAACCAAATTGTACTATTAACAAAGCACAATTTGCCTTTCTTTTACATTAATAGATTGACTTAGCAGGTTAATCATAACGAGGCAATATAGTAAAAAATCGTGGCAATAGAACTACAAGCACACAGACTCGTAAAACGTTATACGCGGCGCGGTCCCATAGTTGTTAACGAAGTAAGCCTATCCGTCCAGCAAGGTGAAATTGTCGGGTTGCTCGGTCCCAACGGTGCCGGAAAATCAACGACCTTTTACATGGTGGTAGGACTGATTCGCCCGAATGCAGGTAGAATTACATACGCCGATAAGGACATTACCTTCTACCCGATGTATAAGCGTGCGAGACTTGGCATCGGCTACCTCTCACAAGAAACATCGATTTTTCGTAAACTGACGGTTCAACAGAACATTGAGGCAATCCTTGAGGTACAAGGGGTGCCAAAATCAGAACGCGAACCTCGCATCCGCGAGCTGACAGACGAACTCGGCATTTCAAATCTGTTACCGCGCAAGGCATATACACTTTCGGGCGGTGAGTGTCGCCGAGCAGAGATAGCACGCGCTCTTGCAGCACAACCTAATTTCATTCTGCTTGATGAACCGCTTTCTGGAATAGATCCGATTGCTGTCGCTGATATCAAGCAGCTCATCGGGCACTTGCGCGACCGCAATTTAGGTGTACTCATTACGGATCATAATGCCGCTGAAACACTTGATATTGTTGATAGGGCATACATCATCGTTGATGGGAAAAATTACGCTCGCTGGAACACCTACAGAACTCATCAACAGCGAGACTGCGAGAGACCTCTATTTTGGACACAATTTCTCCTATCGGGTAGGGTAGCAACGCTGTAGGATTACCGGACGGAATATTAGTTATCAGTAAGAAAAAACATTTTTCTGAAACCGATAACTAATAAAAGGAGACTTGATGAAATGTACAAAGCGCAACTTACCCAAGCACCCCAATTAACACAGAAAACGTCCATTACACCGAGGCTACAACAGGCACTCAAAGTGCTTAATATGCCGCTGCAGGAACTAACACAATTTATCAGCCAAGAACTGGAACAGAACCCCTTCTTGGAACTCGAAGAAGAGGACGAGACAGCACTCCCCACCGAAGAATCAGATCCAATACCCGAATGGAATGAACCAGAAGAAAATCCTGATCGGGAAGATAGCACTATCGATATCGATTGGGAAACAGCCTTTGAGGACCGTGTGTCCGTTAGCGAACGGATAAATTCCAGATACTCGGACACTGACGAATTACAATCAGATCTGGGGCATGAACGCTCGCTGCACGAGCATCTTGATGAACAATTAGGACTCGCACCACCCGAAATTATAGCCTCAGAAACAGAACGCGCCATCGCAGAGCAAATTCTCGGAAATCTCAACGATGACGGACAATTAGAACTCAAACTGTTTCAAATTCCGTGTGAATTCCTGCCAGAATTGGATGAAGGAATTTTTTCAACAGAACTGCACATTTTTATTCAGAAAAATTTACAAGCAGCAACAGGCGACCGTAATATTCACCCTAATATTCAATTGTCAAAAACTGCTACAATTGCTGGGACAGATACAATGCCTCCTTCCACGGAAAATGGAGGCGTGCCTGCACATCGCGCATGGAAAATTAACGACAGAGACAACAAAAATATCTATACTATACTATACGAATATATGCCAGGCAACCGTAAGCCAGCACTTGTCTTTTACCAACTTACGTTGGATGATATTGCCGAAACTGTTGGCTGTGATACATCACTCGTTGAAACTGTACTCCGTAAGATACAAGATAATTTTGAACCGCTTGGGATAGCATATCGAGATGTAAGAGAGGCATTGCTTATACAGATTCGCAATTATAAAGCAGAGAACGGAGTGGATGCGAAGCACGACTCACAGAATACTGAGATGAGTCCTGAACGGAAGGACAGTTCAACATCGTCAGCAGAATATAAAACACAGTGTGCGGATTCTCAATATAAAAATATACCCGTGCGATGCCTTGCCCAAGAAATCATCGAAAACCACTTCGACACTCTTCTGAATCAGCAATGGGATTGCATCGCGGAAGCACTGAAAGTTGACATCACAGCGATTGAGACAGCGGCTAAGTGGATAGGAAAGCTATCACCGTACCCGGGTCGCTACTTCACAGATCCTACGACCCGATCACTCAAAAAAAAATCCTTCGCAGAGATCATCACGCCAGACGTGGAGATACAATACCTTAATGGAAAATACCAAGCTATCTCTGTGGACAATCACATACCACGCTTACAGATGAATCCTTACTATGTAAATTTGATGAGAAATCACCAAAACACCTTAGATTCTGACGCAAAAGAATGGATAGAAAAACGGTATCGTGATGCGACCAATTTGCTCAGCAGCCTCGCGCAGCGAGGCAGCACAATCGCCCGGGTCACCGAAGTAATTTTTGAAGTGCAAACGGAATTTCTAACACAAGGCGTTAAAAGTATTAAACCGCTGACCTTGAGAACAATAGCTGAAAAAATAGGCATTCACGAATCAACCGTCAGCCGAGTAACAAGCAATAAATATGTGCAAACCTCACACGGCATGTATCCCCTTCGGTTCTTTTTCAGTAATGAATTAGCTACCACGCAAGGAGACGCAGTCTCCGCTAAACAGGTTAAAAACCTTATTCAAGAGATGGTCGGCGCTGAGGTTCCCTCGAAACCTCTCAGTGATCAAGCGATCAGTAATGCCTTGAAAGCGAAGGGTATCTTGCTCGCGAGGCGAACCGTTCAGAAATATCGCGATGAATTGGGCATACCTACATCACGCGAAAGGTCTGCTGTCCACGAAAATACTCGCGCCAATTAACCATCGGATTCCCAACGAAGAAGGGCCGTTTTTGGAACTATCAAAAAAGAAAAAACAGGAGGATCGCAATGAAAGTAACGTACTCCGGACATAATTTAAAAATTACTGATGATATTCACGCGTATATCCTCAAGCGTGCCGATAAAATTGAAGCGCGTTTCGACGGGATGCAGGAACTAAATGTCGTTCTCAGGTCTGAGAAACACCGGTTTGATGCCGAGATGATAGTGACAGCACCACGCGTGTCATTCTATGCAAAAAGTGAGACTTATGAGGTATTGTCTGCGCTGGATACTGTCACAGATAAGATAATCAGCCAGATCCGGCGTTACAAGGACCGGGTGAAAGACCGCCGAAATAGTGCGCCTCACCGGGAGGTGGTGGCACGGCTCAATCCGGACGAGGTGGAAACACCACTGGAAGTTGAAGAGATTGATACCCCTGTCGTCGTGTCACAACAGGATAAATTTGCATCCAAACCACTGACGCTGGAGGAAGCTACAACAGAACTTCAAGCCTCGAACTCAGAATTTCTTCTGTTTTTAAATGCCGAAACGCAGCAGGTAAACCTACTTTATGAAACGGCAAAAGGGACATACGGATGGGTAGAACCCCTCTTCACCTAACGGTGCCACTCGCAAAGAAAGGTCTGAAAAAATATGACAAATCTTCCGAAAATCTATGCCCCTCAGGAAATTGAGGGGAAATGGTACCAACTTTGGCAGAAAAATGGCTACTTTCACGCGGACGCAACCTCTGACAAACCGCCTTATGCGATCGTGATACCGCCACCGAACATCACAGGCAGTTTACACATCGGGCACGCGCTCGACAATACACTCCAAGATTGCCTCATCCGATGGCGACGCATGCAAGGTTATAACACACTCTGGATGCCCGGGACTGACCACGCCGGTATTGTTACCGAAATCATTATGGAGCGACAACTCGCTGAAGAAGGCACCAGCAGAACCGACCTTGGACGCGAAAAATTCATCGAACGCATGTGGCAGTGGAAAGATGAATCTGCTGGCTACATTGTGTCACAACTCCAGCAACTCGGATGCTCTTGTGATTGGGAGCGCGAGCGTTTTACTCTCGATGAAGGTCTGTCGAAAGCTGTCCGCACCGCTTTTGTCAAACTGTACAATCAAGGACTCATCTATCGCGATACCTACATGGGAAATTGGTGCCCACACTGCAACACTGTCATAAGTAACCTTGAAGTCGAACCGATTGAGATAGACGGAAACTTTTATCACATCCGCTACCCGGTTAAGGACAGTGAGATTGTGCTCGAAATCGCCACGACGCGTCCGGAAACGATGTTAGGTGACACCGCTGTTGCTGTGCACCCTGAAGATGAACGTTATCAACATTTGATTGGAAAAACAGCACGCCTACCGCTCTGCGACAGAGAAATCCCGATAATCGCCGACGTATATGTGGATAGAGAATTCGGGACGGGTGCCTTGAAAGTTACTCCGGCGCACGATACCAATGACTATGAAATTGGCTTACGACACGACCTCGAACAACGGACGATTTTCACGCCGGATGGATATATAAACGAAAACGCGCCCGATAATTACGTCGGTTTGCCCCGACAGGATTGCCGCAAACGTGTCGTCGAAGATCTGCAGAACTTGGATTATCTCGTCAAAATTGTCCCGCATCGGCACGCCGTTGGACATCATGACCGATGTGGCACGGTTGTTGAACCCGCTATATCGCCGCAATGGTTTATGAATGTTCGCCCACTCGCGCAACGCGCCATAGAAGCAACGAAAAAAGGTGAAGTCAAGTTTATTCCAGAGCGGGAAACTTCTCGCTTTTATCATTGGATGGAGAATATCGAACCCTGGCCCATCTCACGTCAACGGTGGTGGGGACATCGGCTCCCAATATGGTATTGTAACGCATGCGAAGCAGTCACCGCTGCTATGGAAACACCTCAGCAGTGCGAATGTGGTGCCTCCGATTTTCGGCAAGAAGAAGACGTTCTGGACACATGGTTCAGCTCTGGGTTGTGGCCCTTCTCCACTATGGGATGGCCAGAAAATGCGGAAGAACTGAAGACTTTCTATCCGACCTCTGTCCTTGTAACCGGCTGGGACATTCTCTTCTTCTGGGTGGCGAGAATGATTATGCTTGGATTAGGGTGTATGGACGAAGTACCGTTCCGCACCGTTTACCTGCATGGACTTGTTGCCGATGAAAAGGGACAGAAAATGAGCAAATCGAAGGGAAATAGCATCGACCCATTAGAAACAATTGGCACCTACGGAACGGATGCATTCCGCTTTGCTCTCGTCAATGCCAGCACCCCAAACCCTTATGTTCCCCTCCCAGAATCGCAGATTGAGGCAGGTAAGCGATTTGCTAACAAAATTTGGAATGCCGCCCGGTTCATTCTGATGAACTTAGAAAAACATCCTGTTCCCACAAGAATGGATACTGTAGAAACTGAACAGGAAACGTTAGAAATCGCTTGGATACGGAGCCGTCTTAGCCACACCATCACAACAACAACCGATGCCTTCGAGAACTTCCGTTTCCATGAAGCGGCACAAACACTCTACGCCTTCCTTTGGCACGAATTCTGCGATTGGTACCTGGAGTTTGCCAAACAGCGAGTCTCACAAAATGAACCAGAGGCACTTTGGGTAGCAGCGGATGTTCTGGAGCAGACAATGCGGCTCCTCCACCCCTTGATGCCTTTCTTGACCGAAGAGATTTGGCAACAACTCCCGCACGGTGGCGGTAGAAGCGAATCCTCTGAAAAAGGTTCAGTAACAGTTTCCTCATGGCCAGAACCAATAGGCGGAAATCCGACAGCAGAAGCCACCATGGCAACACTCATGGAAGTCATCGAGAGTGTCCGAAGCATCCGAGGCGAGTTGAATGTTCCGATCGGCGCATCAGTAGAGGTTCATATCCAATCGCCAAATACTGAAGTGCGTGAACGACTTGAAGCATACTTGGCACAGTACCTGCCAGCTTTCACACGCGTAGCAGACATCACGATCGCCGAATCTTTGTCCAAACCCCGTGCTTCGGCAGAAGCCGTTATCGGTGAGCTCGCTATCTACATCCCGCTTGCCGATATAATCGATCTGGATGCCGAACATGCAAGGCTTAGCAAACGACATCAACAGGCGGTTAAGGATGTTACAGCAGCACAGAAGACTTTAGATAATCCGAATTTCATTCAGCGTGCGCCTGAAAAGGTTGTCAAACAAAAGGAAGAGCTGCTTGCCCGGCTAAAAGTAGAACAAGAAAAATTAGCACGAAGCCTCGCAATGCTCACTGAATCAGAAAATGAAGATTAAAATAGCAAGAAAACCGTAGCTCGTAATGAAATGGAGAGCGGATTTAAGGAACGCATCTGATAGGTCTAACGCCCGTTGTTCCTCCGCAAGGTAAAATTAAAAATCCGCAAGGAAAAATTAAAAAGTGGCAATTGAAAATAACGATAACTGCTTTGTTTGTGGTATGGAAAACCCATTCGGTTTTCAGGTAAAACCTGAAATTAAGAATGGAGGCGAATTCGTCTATATTGAATGTACACCCGCCGAACACTTGCAAGGGTGGGCGAACATTCTACACGGTGGTATCCTCAGCACGCTATTAGATGAAGCGATTACCTATGTCGGGATAAGTACCTTTAATCAACCGGCAGTAACAGCGCAACTCGAAGTCCGTTTCCGCAATCCAGCCCCAACATGTGTGAAACTCCATGTATGCGCGGAGCGTATTAAGGTTTCAAAAAGGTTAGTGGAGGCAAAAGCAGCAGTTACGCTCGGTGATGGCACCCTTATCGCTACGGGAACTGGTAAGGTAATGCCGGTCAGCGAGAGTTTCGCCCCTAAGTCCCCATAGGAATTCCGAACAGGTCCCCAGTCGCGTCGGGGTGAACCAAAAACCATCGCGTAACGAAGTGGAGCGATGCCCAGAGGCTCATAGTTAGAAAAATGGAAAATCCAACATCTGCGGTGAATCCAGAGAAGCATTCAAGTTGGGACACGGATGTCCTGATCATCGGTAGCGGTGCTGCTGGGTTACGCGCGGCTCTCGCTGCAAGCGAGCACGCGAATGTAACGTTAATCACCAAAACCACGCTGACAGAGAGCAACACGCACTACGCCCAAGGTGGCATCGCAGTTGTTATGAACCTTGATGACACGATTGCCTTGCACATAAAGGATACCTGCGCAGCTGGCGCGGGATTCTGCAATGTCAAAGCCGTTGAGATGATGGTATCCGAAGGCATTCCACGTGTCGCTGAACTGCTTGATTGGGGTGCGAACTTTGATTGGGAAGGCGCACTGCCGCGCTTTACGCAAGAAGCTGCGCATAGCCGTCGCCGTATCGTCCACAAAGGAGATGCAACAGGACGTGAAACAACGGATGTCCTCATTCAACGCGTGCTTAACACTGAAAACATCCACATCTTACAAAACACATTTGCCATTGATCTCCTAACAGATGCAGAGATCACCAAAGGGCATGAAGAAACCGTCACTTGCTATGGCGTTACCGCGATTGTAGGTGAAGAAGCAGTCTGTATTCGTGCGAGAGCCACGATTCTTGCAACGGGCGGTCTCGGACGTGTCTACCCTTGTACCTCCAACCCAAAGGTGGCCACCGGTGATGGGTTCGCTGCAGCGTGGCGCGCTGGATGCGAAATGGTCGATATGGAATTCGTTCAGTTTCATCCAACAACGCTCTACTTGGACGGTGCTCCTAACTTTTTAATCTCAGAAGCAGTTCGTGGCGAAGGCGGCCAACTCATCAGCATTCGTGGCGAACGCTTTATGGAGAAATACCACGAGAAAGGTGAACTCGCACCGCGCGATGTTGTCAGTCGTGCTATCCAGATAGAAATGGAATTGACAGGATTTCCGTGCGTCTATCTCGACATTACACATAAACCTGCCGGATTTATCCACGAGCGATTCCCAACGATCTCCGAAACCACCAAACGCTACGGCTTAGACATCAACATGGACTTAATCCCAGTTCGTCCGGGTGCCCACTTTATGATGGGAGGCATCCGCACGAACACCGATACAGAAACAAACCTCAAAGGACTCTATGCGTGCGGCGAAGTTGCCTGCACTGGCGTGCATGGTGCGAACCGTTTGGCAAGCAATTCTCTTCTGGAATGCCTCGTCTACGGTGCTCGCGCTGGCACAAACGCAGCAACGTTCGCCGCATTCCAATCTTCTCACCCACCAGATATATCACGCGCCGGTAATACAGAGACATCTCAGATGCCGCATATTGAGGCAGATTTAGCTTCTATAGAAGCGATAAAGGACGCAATCCGGGAGACCCTCTGGGAAAATGTGAGTATTGAACGAAACGGCGAGGGTTTAAGACAAACCCTCGCCGAATTGCAAGACTTAACCATAAATTTAGGGAACGTGCCAGCAACACCAGTACCAAGTGATATAGCACTGATTGAAGCAGTCAATATGCTCAATGTCGCCTTAATGATAACGAAATCAGCACTTGCGCGAACCGAAAGTCGCGGTGCGCACTACCGTACTGATTTTCCGACGCAAGACGATACCGATTGGCACCGCCGAATTCTTATCAAGAACGATAACCCATCAGAAGTGATCTCCTTGTAGCCCAAAACGTTATTGCCATCGCAAACCAAATAATCATGGGTTGTCGGAAAGAGACACTTTTTCTGCCTAACAACTCCTTCTCTAAAACCCTTCCAATCGTTTTTGGATGATCCCTGTCGCCGAATTCACAGCCGGCGGTTCGCTCGCATTCTTATAAATTTCTACATAGTTATCGTAACTGTCAATAACCTTCTTGATATGAAGTCGAGTTTCGCGGATCGTAATTTTCTCAACAAATTCATCAATGTCTGCGATATTTTTGGATGCCACCCATCGCTTCATCCGTCCAGGACCACCGTTATACGCGCCAGTCACCAGCATTACGTTGCCATTGAACAGCGAGTTGAGATATCCGATATACTTCGTCCCCATCTGAATATTCACATCGGGTTGCTTGAGCATTGAGGTGCGGAAGCGACGGATTTTGAGCTGCTGAGCGAGTTCCCTTCCAGTAGCCGGCATAATCTGCATCAATCCGATCGCGCCAGCCCAACTAACCGCTTCTGCATTGTATCGGCTTTCCTCCAAAATCATCGCGGTAATTAAGAAGGTATCCACGTTATACATTTTTGCATACTTCTCAACAGTATTAGCATAGTAGAGCGGATAGAGTTTTCGATGGAGTTTCTCTAAATCTTCACGCGTTGCATTGGCAAAAGCAGAGCCTTCCAGAGACTCTTCGGTCACCTCCCGTGCCTTATCGTACATCGCGAGCCCTTCATAACAGGTAATCAAACTATAAAAACACTCTTGTTCAGAGAGTGAGGTTGTGTTGATGTGCTCGTTTAACTGCGTGATCGCATCTTCATAGAGCCTGAGCTTCATCAACAGCGACACCTGTTGCGGACATGCTTGACGCACCGGTAATTCCGCATCCTGAACGGCTTTCGGTTCCAATTCGGATGTAGCGACACCCAAAATCGTCTTTGCCCTTGCTGAGTAATACCAATACCGCGCTTCTGCAACTTCTTTGTACAACTTTCGTGCAAGCACAGGTTTGTTCTGTCGTTCACGTATCTTTGCCATCCAAAAGTGAGCGCCCATTGCATAGCGATTTCCGGGAAAATTCTCCTTCAAGCCTTTGAAAGCGTTATAACTCTCCTCATAGCGGCGTTCATCAAAACGCTGCCAGCCAGTTTCGCCATGCTGCAACATCAGCGTATGGACTTTCGGTGCCACTTTGATTAAGCGTGAATACGCATCGAGTGCTAACTCCGATTTACCTTGTCTTTCGCGGAGTTGAGCGATATCATACAACGCATCGTCTACCAACTCGCTCCATGCATAGGTCTTCACGAAACTCTCAAGCTTGCTGATGGCAGTTCTAATATGCCCTTTCCGACGATAACACTGGGCTATTTGATAAGTCGCGCGCGTGAGATATTCGTTCTCATCACCGAGCGCGATAACAGCATCGAATTTCTTGATTGCTGTATTATACCACTTCCGCCCCTGATAACTTCGTCCGATGAGGTAGAGCGCATGCGCCCGTAGATTTAAATCCACAGTCTCAGGAATTAATTCCAAGTCCGCGATGGCGGCTTTCCACCGTTTATGAGAAAAAGATACCAAACCACAATTAAGCCGGTCGATTGGGGTAAGCTTTAGAGTCCTATTCGCTCTTACAAGCCGCTTGAGTCGACCAAGTGCCTCACGAGCAACGCTACCTGAGTGGTTTTCCGTAATGAGTTCGCGATAAGTGTTGAATGCCGTAGGAATGTCCCCAAGTTCCTCATTACAGCGTGCCAAAGCAAAACTTACTTCTCTCGCATGACGCGGCTGCTCAACGAGTTCGACCAATACAGACTTCGCGGACGCGTACTGCTTCTCTTCCAGATGAAGCTGCGCTAAAGCCCACTTCGCCTCCACGAGATAAAAACTCGTGGGATAATCCTTGACAAGCTGCGCATACCATTTTATCGCCCGCGCGCTGTTATTCATACCTTCGTAAAGCTGCGCCAAGCGATAGACAGCGCAATCCGCCAGCGGATAATTAAGCGAAGCAACTCGCGCGTAGTGTCCAACCGCCTTCGGACGGTTCCGAAGTTTCTCATAGTTATAGCCGAGCACATGATGGATCTCAAGTTTTTCTGACTCCGATAGGTCAGTCTGCAATAAAGCTTCCAGTTTCAAGGTTGCTTGTTTACGGTTCCCTTTATCAATCATTGCAAAAGCTTCTTGCCACCCGGCACTACGTCCTTCATCAGCTGAAACCAACATCTCGATGGAGAAGCATCCGTAAGCCAACACGAGTAAACTTAAAGCAAACTTTCGGATCATGATAGAATGCAATACAGTTCCCGAATGTGATTTATTGCTGGACTGAATTCGGTTTCTGCTAAAGACTTTTATATATTTCATTTTGCCCTCTTTTGGGTCCTCCTCATATCAGTTACTGCGAATTTACTTAAAATAAACATAGACTTTTCCGGATTCTCTTATCATAATAGAATTGTAACGTCTTTTAAAGGCGAAAAGCAACAAAAAAAGCGAACAACGACCTTCCGTCTCGCGAATACCAGAAATCATTTGCCAAATTCGGATATGTTACGCTATACTTAATAGGAAATTAACTCACTGAAAGGGGAATAGTAATGGAAGTTGTAGCACTTGGAAAAACTGGTTTAAATGTTTCACGGCTCTCGATCGGAACTGGGTCAAATGGCTGGAATGGCCGCTCAAATCAAACAGATTTGGGATTTGAAGGTTTACGTGATTTACTGCTGTTCTCACACGGAAAAGGTGTAACTTTTTGGGATTCCGCAGATCAGTACGGAAGTCACCCGCATGCCAAAGCAGCACTAAAAGAGGTAGCGCGTGAGAGTGTCACTATCACGACAAAAACGACATCCCGCACGCGAGAAACCGTAGAAGCAGATGTGAAACGATTTCTCAAAGAAATAGGCTCTGACTATGTAGACATTGTTCTGCTCCACTGTCTCACTCAAGTAGACTGGCCACAACGGTACCCAGATGCGATGGAAGCACTTGTCCGTTGCAAGGAGCAAGGGTTGATCCGCGCACACGGTGTATCCTGTCACGACTACAGTGCGTTCCAAACATCAGCGATGACGGATTGGGTTGACGTTGTCTTGGCTCGGATTAATTACGCTGGCGTTCACATGGACGCATCCCCCGCTGATGTCATCCGAACAATGGAACAGATGGCATTTGCAGGAAAAGGGATCTATGGAATGAAAGTGCTGGGACAGGGAAAATTGGCAGAAGACGCAACGGGTCAACGCGAGGCAATCGAATTTGTGATGGGACTCCCGTGCGTCCACGCAATGACTATCGGTATGACCTCAGAAAGCGAAGTGGAAGCCAACGTCGCTGTCGTTAATGAACTGTCGGAGAAAGGCATGTGATAGCACCCACAGTCTAAAGACTGGGGCTTCGGCTTCGTAGACAATAGCGATTTCCCCGCAGGTCAACCGTCTTACGTTGTCTCCACCAGCAGGCGATTCCCCAAAAGGTGAAAAATCCCTTTGAGCATATCAAAGCGAAATTCTTGGCTATCCCCGCCTGCCTCAATCGGGAAACTGATTGACAAGTTGAAAGAGAGGGCAGCAATACAGCGTGCAGACTTTCACCTCTGCTCCGAAACTTATGCCGGAACTGCCCAAAATACTTTTAGAGTGGTATTGACACTTAACACCTTTTGACCACCTTTGACCGTGGCGGACACCTCCTGCACAAGGTATGTGCAGGGTCAAAGCGGTGTCCAAAGTGTTCGTATAATTATACCACATTTTTCTCCGTTTGTCAAATCTTTTTGAGACTACAAAATCCAACGCCCGCCTATATCCCCAAGCTAAAGCATGGGGCTTTGGCGGGAAGATCGGTAAAGTAGGACTTACGCAGGCTGCTTTTCTGTAGTATAACCTGTTAGGTTGTGTCAAGGACCCCGTATGCGTTTTTTTGTCGGTTCGTCCTCTCAGCACGCGTGCTATCCTCAAAATTGCGTAAGTCCTGAATTGACGATGAGTGGGCGGTTAAGAAGTTTTCGTTAGACCCAAAGCAGTAGCCTGCAACAACGACGCAGGCGGATATAAGGAACGCACGTCAACGTCGAAATGCATGTCCTTCCTCCGCAAGGTATAATTAAAAATCCGCAAGGTAAATTAAAAATATGGAAAAATACGAAATAGTTATCGGCTTGGAAATCCACGCGGAATTGTGCACAGAAAGTAAACTTTTCTGTAACTGCGCTTATATTTTCGGTGCATTGGCAAATGATTGTACGTGTCCAATCTGTTTAGGGATGCCCGGAACATTACCGGTCATCAATAGACGCGCTGTTGAGTTTTCGGTGCGCGCCGGCTTGGCGATGGGGTGTGAAATCACGCCCTCCAGTAAATTCGATCGGAAGAACTATTTCTATCCAGATCTGCCGAAGAACTACCAAATCTCGCAATATGACATCCCATTGTGTCAGAACGGACAGGTATCATTTGAATTTGAAGGCGAACTCCGTACCGTCGCCCTCCGTAGAATTCACCTGGAAGAGGATGCGGGGAAATCCATTCACGCCGAAGTCACAGGTGATCCAACCCGTAGTTTCATGGACTTCAATCGTGCCGGTGTGCCGCTACTTGAAATTGTAAGCGAACCCGAACTGCACTCCCCTGAAGAAGCCATTGCCTATTGTCGTGCTGTTAAGGAAATTTTAGAGTACATTGAAGTCAGCGATTGCAACATGGAAGAGGGGAGTCTGCGGTGTGAACCGAACCTCTCCCTACGACCCAAAGGTAGTAAAGAGTTAGGCACGCGTACGGAAATCAAGAACAAAAACTCGTTCCAAGAACTAATCGATGCAATGGAGTACGAGGTGAAACGGCAGGCACGGATTTTAGATGCCGGTGAAGAGGTCGTCCAAGAAACATTGCTTTTTGATGCAAGCACGGGCAAAACCGTTGCGATGCGCGGCAAGGAAGAAGCAGACGACTACCGCTATTTCCCTGAACCGGACCTCGTTCATGTCCAGATAAGTGACGAATGGATTGAGGAGAGCCAGCCGACGCTTCCCGAACTCCCCGCTGCCCGCCGAAAACGTTTCATTTCGGACTACGACATCTCTCCAGATAACGCAGAATTCCTGACGAACACCCGACCTCTCGCCGAATTCTTCGACGAAGCCGCTCGACTCAGCGGCGAACCCACCACCTGTGCAAACTGGATCATGGGAGACCTGACGCGGCTCCTAAACACTGCAGAAATTGAGATCCAAGACGCGAAGGTCACACCAGCACACCTCAATGAACTCATCCAGTTAATTGGTGATGCAACCATCAGCGGTAAAATCGCCAAATCTGTGCTCGATGATGCCTTCGAGACAGGCAAAATGCCGAAACAGATTGTTTCCGAAAAGGGATTGGCACAGATTACGGACACCTCGGAGATAGAAACTATCGTCTTACAGGTCGTGGAGGAAAACCCTGGTCCCGCTCAGGATTACCGTGATGGCACGAAGAAAGCGATCGGGTTTCTTGTCGGGCAGGTGATGCGTGCCACCCGCGGCAAGGCAAATCCGCAATTGGTAAATGAGATTTTGACGCGGGTCTTGTCGACAGATTGAGGCTTTTCAATGAATATAGCGCAGCTAACCAGCACGCGGTTTAGAGGATTTTCCATCCAATCCTTCATTATCATTTAGGTAAAACCTTAATCTTTAAGGAGGAGTTTGCTATGAAATTATCAGAAAACCAAGAACTCATTCAGAAACTTAAGCAAATTCTAGAAGATTATCCAGGATTAGAATATGACGAGCGTAGTTCAAAACGGATGAATAATATGTTAATTGTTAAACAATCATCTGATGTTAGATGCAATATTAGTGAGGCTGCTGACATTGCCAAAAAACTAAGTGAATCTACAGGTGATGAGTATAAGATCCAACCGCGCTCGGGTTCCGAAGAATTTTCACTTGACAATTTGAAAAATTTTGGCTTATTTCCACTTACACCTAATAGGAATGTAAGGATAACCTACCCGGATAGTAAAAATGGCATATTGGAGGTTGACGTTATACAGGGCGTGGAAATTTCATTTAAAATTGACGATGTTCTGTGGTGTTTTGCTAAACAAAATTAGTTGAAAATCCGTTTTAACATTTTTGCACATCCTAACTACCGCAAATTTTTACGGAGTCACGTTACTACGTTTACTCGAAACTATAGCGAGTTCCCAGTTAGCAATCATTTCTCAAACTCCGGATTTAAACAGACAATAGAGGATGACACGGATTTATCTAAAAATTCGCTTGACTAACCAATGGAGTTTGCTAGATGCAATTGACAAGGTATATGAGTATTGGAAGATATTATGATTTACTATCTACAGGGACGTTGTTCTTGCCTCACTATAATAATTTAGGAGATCCGTATGAAGGTTCCTTAGGTCATATACCGAGAGATGAATTAATAAAGAAGCAAACAGAAAGATTCGGGCGGATAACTGCTATGCCTCTACAGCCTCAGACTTTTGCAAGAGAGTTTTTAGAAACTTTTGAACCTTTGCTTTACCATAATTTCCTGCGGCACTTTACCTTTGTGAGTTGTTGGCATCAAAGTTACATAGAGTCAATGCCAATGTGGAAAATGTATGGGAAGGAAGGTGTAATGATTAAATCTGATTTACCGTCATTGGAAAGCAGTTTAGGGATAGATGTTGAAGGGTACCAACACTCCGATGTATTTCAGGAAAAGTACGGTATTGATCCATCTAATGTTATGAAATTTTCATTGAAACAGGAAATGTTAAATATATTTCACGCGGAAATTATATAGAACCTGTCAGTTCAGATCGTTATTTTCACAAACAGTTAGAATATGCAGATGAGAGAGAATTACGAGTTATTCTTCAACTTCACTTGGGGCCTGAACTAAGATTTAACTCTCTCCACATATTGGGTATCTATACCATCGTCACGCCTCAAAACTATACGACCGTAGATAGGAAAATATCCTTTGTCCATCTAACTTTCAAATTCATTTAGAACCTGAACAAAGTTTTGACTTTCCATATATCACTGAACTAGATTAATAATTCGTGCTACTCAAGATATATAACGGATATGGAAAGTTTGATTCTTCGTTTTTGGGAAAATGCTAGGTTATCATATGAGAGACATGCTTCAATATTGAATGAAGGTTTGTCTAAGAGTGGGGTGTGTGTGCGTTCTGTCTGTGGATACAGCTAATTCTTGATTAAGGAAGTCGTTGTCAATCCATTCAATGATGAAGATTCTGAAGTATTGAAGATTGAGTTAATAAATCAAAGATTTGGAGTAGAAGCAGAAGTTAAAAAGTCAATTATAGAAGTCGAACCAGCCATTACAAAATTGAGCGTGCGTCTAGCCACCGGAGAGACAATAGAGCTTGAACTCTAAGGCTCTGATACCTTTGAACGGAACTTTAGAATGTCACAGGAGACCTAAGTATAGAGAGATATAACGTGGGAGTGTTTCGAGAGGCGTGATTAAAAGCGTTGTACACCCACTGTTCCAT